ACCTTTTAGTAGACCATTGAGTGTTGGTAGCTCAAGATATCCTTGTTTTAGTGAGAGGATATCAGATTTGGTTCGAACTGGGATAGGGTTCATTTGGGATTTCACTTCCTTTGGCCTTGGGACTTCATGTGAAGTTACTAAATGATGTTTTAGGGTATTTTTTATCTCATTTGACTTGTCGGAAGTCAAATTCTTTTCTCTTAGGGTAAAATGACCATTTTACCCTTGGTTCTTCTTTTGGTAGGGTTTTGATACCCTTGTCTTCGTTTTGCTTCTGTTGAGCCTCGAAACTCCTCGAAGGGCCATTCTTGTGTCTTAGGGATGACGTACATCTCTAAGAACTTGTTTTAGTTTTACTTCCGCATTTTGGATTCGTTTCGGGTCATCACAGGACACACTGAGTTAAAAAATTCAGGGTCGTCACAAATACGAACTAAAAAAAAATGTCTCCCATGTGAAGCTATTCATAGTCATACATCAAGAAAGGAGTATGTTAATTGAGATACTAACCTCTGCGAGAAATTTACCCGAGTATGCAGTAACAAAACTTGCACTGTTTGAAGAGAAACTTTTTCACCAGAACATGAATATAGAGAAAAGAGCTAAAAAAAAAAAAAAAAATGTAAGTTTTTGGTCAAAAATTTTGTACGAAGAGAATTTTTTTCTTTTTTCACCATAATAGAAGGACTCCACAATTTTAGTGGAATTATTTGTTTAATTTTTTCATTATTAATACCTCTTTATTATAAGGTGTTTAATTTTATGTAAAACACTCAGGTTTTGGAGTCTTAACAAATCAGAAACAACTAATATATGTTGCTTTTTATTTTATTTATTTTGGTAATATATATACCAATGCCAAGTTGAAAGTCAACTTAGAAATCTTGTTTTTCTAACTTTTATGAATGAAAGAATGATTTGATTTAGTATGGAAATTTTGATTTTTTAAAATAAGAGTTTGGAGGATATTTTGGACCTAAATCATAGTTTTTAATGCATATGTGATTATTTTACTTAACTCGACCAAATTAAAAAATTAACTTTAATAATAGACGGATTTGTTATTTAAGGTTCCTAAATCTACTTGTAATATTTACTCTTAAATTTGGGTGAAAAGTGAAGATTACTTTAGAGTTGTGATTGTTTAGGAAGCTCCTTAAAGAGTTGCATTTGAAGGGGGGGGGATTTTAAAATTGTGATTGTTTAGAAAATTCCTTAAAGAATTGTAATTGTTTAGGAAACACCTTGAAGACAAGTGATGGAATTCTTATTCATAGTTGAAAACTCTATAAATAGAACTGGATTTGTGTAGAAAGGTAGAGAGGGGAAAAGATATAAGGAATGTAAAGGATTGTTGAATGTTAGTGACAGTGGGATAAATAGAGTTGGGTTTGTGTAGAAAGGTAGGGAGGGGAAAAGATGTAAGGGATGTAAAGGATTGTTGAATGGTAGTGAGGGTGGGACAATAATTTTAAGGGAGAGAAATCAAAGTGATTAGAGTAGAAAAATCAAACGTAATTAGTGTCAGAGAAAAAATCAAATATGAGTGAGGTCTTAAGGGGATGTGCAGCCACGTGGTGGGGAATGAGATTCTAACAAGCTGAAGTCAAAGAGAGTTTGAACATCCTCCTACTTACCCAAAATTGAATATATATATATTTGTATATATACTAATATAATTTATATATATTAAAAAGAGAGTATTTTTATATTTAAATTTTCTTATTGTTGTATTTTGGAGATCAAATTAGGTTCTCCACCTTTTTGTTACCTTTTGTGGCTTCGTCCGTGTAGTCATACCTGATCAAACCAAAATGGAAATGGAAGGCAAAGGATACTGAAACTAGGAGTTTTTTATTTACTGTATTTATTTTATTATTTTAATAAGGAGACTAGCTCTCTGTCATGGCTAGGAAAAAAAAAAAAAATTAGATGGAAGGAGGGGCAAGCCAAAAATTAAATCCAGGGGCACAACGTAAAAAAAAACAAAGAAAATTTTATAAACATGACAATAAATATAGATTTTTCAAATCAAAAAGTAAAGAAGAAAAATTACTTAAAATAATATGTCTCGTTTAAAAAAGATAAATAGTTAACAAAATTTTAAAAAGGAAAGAAAAATGAGAAAACTTTGAAAAGGAAAAAAATTAAACTTTGATTCAAAAAGAAGAAATTAACTTTTTTTAAAGGAAATTAAACAAATTTAAAGAGTAACAAAGAAAAGAAATACAAAATTTAAGAGATAATTTTTAAAAATAAAATTTTTAGGGGGCATTATATGAATTTTTTCACATATACATATAAAAATACATAAATCTAGTATACATATTATAGTAAGCAGGGCAGGGGCCTCAGTCATACACTTGCTCCCTTGGATAGAAGGAAGAGAAGAAAGGTAAGATGAGACATCCCTAAGGAAGAGAATGCGTATTTCTTTTTTTTTATTCGGTTGAATAGAAGAAAAGAGAATAAACAATAATTGCATTTAATTCCTCCTGCTCTTTGTTTTTCATTGCCAGCTATGATAGTATACAAAAACAAATTAAATAAGAGATTGTCTTTTATTCAAAATCCAAGACGCGCACTTGCTCAAGGTGCAAAAATTACTAGTTTTTGTGCGTTTTCTCTCCCAATATTCCAAACTATTCTGTAGCTTTTCTTGTTCTTAGATATGGGACAAGCGTAAAAAAACACTCCTAAAAGTATTATTCGCGTAACACTTTTACCCTTATTTGAAAAATTATATAAAAAAACATCCATAATCTTTTCATATTGTGCAAAAAATACCCCTCAATCAGAAATATGACATAAATTAATAATATAATACCTATTTTACCTTTTTACTCTTCCGACAATGTTCAAAAGGGTATATATGTTACTAATATCATAATATAGGGTTGTTATGTGTAACATTACCTTATATATATATTTTGAACTTTTTTGAAACTTCGAGAATTTGTAAAGGAATTATTTGAATTTTTTGAGATTTCAGTTTACTATTTTCTACTAATTTTTTTTTCTTCTTTATTTATTTATTTATTTTTTTTGTACCAACACAATTAAACAAAAAAAAAAAAAAAAATCCTAATATTAGTGTGCATTGGTTTTCAGAATTTGGAACAAATTTGTTTTCTTTAGTTTACACTTTATTTTCGTTTTTTATTTTTTATTTTTTATTTTTTATTTTTGTCTTTACTTTTCTTTTATACTTTTATTTTTATTTTATATTTTTATCTTTACTTATCCATTGCCGGCGCCCTTCAATAGTGTCATTTTCGATCATTTTACAAAATTATTTATTTTTATATATTTTATAAAATAATTTTATAATTTAAATTTGTCAAAGAAACTTATTTACACTAAATTAAAACTTTATGAATGTTATTTTTTTTTTGCACATGAGGGTGTCCTCCAATTGCATCCTTTTTGATCATTTTACACTCAAGTGCTCTGCTACACTGCAACCATCTTTATATTTGGTTGGTGCGATATTGTTTCTCGTGTGAGTTGGTTGGCAAGTTTGTTATTCTAGAATGGAAGGCATCTTTTATTGTAAGGATTTACTTTAGCCCATTTAAGGTGATAAGGCAAAGCTGACTACCAAGTCCGATAAGGAATGAGAATTCATGCATCTAAAAATTGTTAGCCACATCCATGCCAAAGGAAACTAAAGTTGATATTCTTTGGAAAAAGTTATGAGCGTAAGATGGCACAAAACAAAACTTAACTTCAATGATTAGAAGGCTTGTCAATTTGTGAACCTCTCGTTGTGATTAGAGAATAAACTTGTGTACCCTATAATTGTTACATAATGGAAGTTAAAATCCTAATTTGTACCCTATAATTGTATCATCGTGGTGACTAGAGAATAAACTTGTGTACCCTATAATTGTTACATAATGAAAGTTAAAATCATACTTGTGTATAGGGATGGCAACGGGGACGGGTTTGGGCGGGTGTACCTTTCCCTGCCCCCGCAACCGTTTAAAAATCCCGCCCCCGTCCCCATCCAAAACTGTAAAAACGGGAGAACTTTCTATCCCATCTCCGTAACCGTTAAACATTTTTATCCCCACGGGTACCCGCCCCGCCCCGTTTAAGACCACAACTTATTTATTGTTAAAATAAATTTGCTCGTTTTTTTCCCCTCATCTTCAATTCTTCATCATTGCAAGTTCCCTTTTAATGAAATTCATTTGTTACTTTAATATTGTTATATAAGATACTTAATATATAGTGGGATATATATATATATATATATATACACTTAAGTAATTTGCTATCTAAACGGGGCGGGGCGGTGCGGGGCAACCTCCCCAGCCCCCGCACCAAACCCGCGCGGATTTTTATTACATCAAATCATCCCCGCCCAAATAAGCAAAACGGTTCCCCAAAACAGCCAAAAACGAGACGGGGTGGGGCGGGTAACAACGGGAGCAAGTCAAATTGCCATCCCTACTTGTGTACCCTATAATTGTAGCCTCGTAATTTTTTTCCCCTTTGCAAATTTTTTCCACCGTGTATCTTAATTTTACTTATGAATGATGATTTATTGTTATTATTTGCTTGTGCTTAGTTGATTGGAAACATGTCCTATTTTAATCGCACAAAGACTGTTTTAATCACACAAAAACGTGAAAAAATTATTGCTGCATGTTGTTGTTTCTGTTCTTTACCCAACAGCCTGCCCTGCAGCTTTCAACAACCACCCATCCATCGTTCATGGATTGTCTGCAAGATACATGATTTGGTTTGTGTGTGTGCGTGTGTGTGAGAGAGAGAGAGAGAGAGAGAATCGGTCATTGGCTAGAGCACTGGTTTATTCAATTTGGGGAACAAACCTCTCTAGGCTGCCTGCAGATGGGATTATAGCAAAATAAGCTCCATCCAGGCTGTTGGTCTTGTTTTGATCACCTTCTCTTTTGACCAACACTAAAAATAGAACCAAAAACTCAATTAAATGACATGCCAGCACTTAACCCTCTGCTCCAGCAACCGTGTTACTCAATAAAATATCTCCCTCATTAAAAAAATTAAAGTAAAATATTTATCAGGAAAAAAAAAAAAGAGAGAGAGTAAAATAAGACATGCATGTCACAAACCCATAAACATATATGAGTTGTATATGTACTCCCCATTCCAGTTCTAGAGTATTTAACAGGCACGATCCATTCTCCAACGAAGCAGGCACTCTTCTTCAACTTGACTCATTCTGATTTAGATATCCGTCACAAAAATCAACTGATGACAACTAGAAAGTGTTCTCACTGCGATTGGGACCGTCACACAGCTCTCTATCTAAATCGATATATTGAAGAAAATATACCAAAGAACACTGTTTTATTCGCTGATATAATTGAGGCCTTGCAAGAAAACTGGCACTATATCAAATAAGTAGAAGAAACCCACAAAAGCACGTAGGTTATCAACGAAGTTGACACTTCTAAACTCCTTAGTCCTGTAAGGATAGGTGGGACAACAGATACCATCAAGAAGGTTCCTATTAGCCATGAAAGAATGAAAGATCCAGCCCTGCAAATGGTAACAAATTGAGATTAGATAATAAGCATTTGCTGCTCTGAAAGTACAAGCCCAGACAGCATTATTTATGCTGGGGAAAGGAAGGGCGAAAAGCATAAACAATCATTCAAACTATTTAAATAACTTTCGAATTATTCATGATGCTTGCAACATGCATAAATAATGTCAATAATGGCTTTAAGAATCATTAATGCTCGGATGTGATCCAAAAACTTCTTATATAAGGAAATTTTCTGCCAGTGCCATGAATAATATTCATTTCAGGAGAATGCTTCTTAACATAGGGGTGATTCATTCACTGATCTGTTTGTTCCTTGAACATCCAATTGAGTTACATGATGCAGATGGGTAGGCAGAGGCATGAAGATGGACAGCTAGCAGTTTTCGAGGTAAATCGCTATTCATTATTATTGGTAGATTGGCTTTGGTTATGCTACTTGCTACATTTGCAAAGAAACAAATGGGATAATGTTTTGTAATGGGCACAAAGATATAATTGTTGAGTAATGGGTATAAAGATGTTTCCTCCATACAACTACTGTTGCTAATTCCATTCAGAGCCACATGAGAGCTGTTCGGGGATTTAAGATATCATATCAATATCTGTTTCTGCAATGTTCATGGAACTAAGTGGAAGGCATATTCTTGTAGTATATGAAATTGTACCCAAAAAAAAAGTGTGCCATAGAGGAGATTGTAGATGGTGATTATACGAGTCTACGCCTCCTAGGTGGCAGTTTAATTGATTCCATATGTTCATAGTTGATGATTTTGGAATTTATTAGCAGAAAAGTAGGGTTATGCACCTCTTCTTGAGGACAGAGGGAAAAAAAATGCAGCTCTCGATAACAGAGGGAAAAAAATGCACCTCTTGATCTTGTAAATATTGCCTACTCTTTTTTAATAAAATATTCTTGCCCAACAAAAGAAAGAGGAGGCAGGGGATACCAGTATCATGAAACTTACCCGTATAGGAAGGCTCGCATTTTGCTTTTCAGCCGATTATATATGAAATATATCGTAGCCATCAGGGATATAGCCACCTGAAGGGTTGGGCCTTCCTCCGTTGGAAAGAGAACAGTGAGAGCTCCAAGTACAACAAAGGATACAGAAGTTGTTATAATAAATTTTGTAGCTGGAGTCCGGAACCTGTTCATGACAGCCTGCACAGCACGGGATTGGGTCACAGCCCTGACCTTTTTCTTGATGTCAATTTTTGGGTTCTTCCTTTCATAAAACTTTTGCATGATAATTTTGTCATGTGCAGATTCAATAGCATCCACACTCGGCTTGTGCCCTGCATATCTATGAATTAGGAAATTCCTTGCAGCTTGAATTTCATCTTCAGAAGCTTCCCTGCTGATTCCAAGTCGTTTATAGGGGTCCCTTACATTGATTCTAGGAAAGACAGCTGTACTTGAGGGAAAAATTAAATAGTTCAGATATTGATGAATGCTGATTTGTGAGAAAGAACATGTTACAGTAACTAGGACAGGAAAAAACTAACTAGAATATAAATAAAACGGTTTGACATACATACTGTGTTTGAATTCCCAAAAAAAAAAAAGTGTATAAATTCACAAAAATGTAAGGTTAAAAAAATTAATAAGTGAGGTAAGACTCTTGATCTGGTGATTGCCGCTCTTGGAAGATCGTGGTCGGAGAAAGCTAGGGCAGATTACTAAAGAGAAAGCTGCATTTATGGCAGCATCAAGTGCTTGCCGTGATCCTCTTCTCCTTATCCTTTGTCCTTTCATTTTGTCTTCTTTTTATTTGGATCGTCTATTCTTTCTAAATTGTGTTTTGAAAATATATTTGGGGAAATGACCCATACTTATAGGTGTACTTTGAACGTTTCTCGGTCCTCTGATCAAGATCATGTTTACCTCGCCTCTACATGAGACACAGAACATGATATAAGCAGCTAATCATACCTCAACTAACAATTGACTTAAGCCACCAAATCTGGGAACCCACATGTCCTAGGTGAATTATGATACGACATCCTTTAGCTACATCATAATTGAGATGATCGCAAAACACAGTGCATAAACTACATCATAATCATCAAAGCCATAATGTGCATAACATGAGGATCTCCAATCTCCTAGAGTATTTTTCAGACTCGGGCAAGTGTACCAGTTCGAGTAATCCTTTGAGAAACATGAAGCATGAAAACAACATGCTTCTATGGCGGTTGAGTCCATATGAAGGAGATTGACACTTCGGTTTTTAGATCGCCACATATAATCATTCCCACAAGGATCCTTTAATATCTGGCAACATGGTATCAAAGCTCTAAGGTAGCATATTTCAAACTCTAAGTGGTCCATGTGGCCTATGGAAAACCCTATATATATTAAAGAGATCAAGATTTGTGCACGAGTAATTGACATGCTATTATAGGTCAGCTTCTTTGTACTATGAAGAACATCTAATTTAGAGTTAGAAAATAAAAAAGAAGGGTCAAATTTTTTGGTGCTCTATTTTTTTTTAGCTTTGGTAGGTTGCTTGGGGATGGGGTGCTTAGGCATTTCGGGAAGGTTCCACCACCTAAGCAGTTGCCCAAGAACTTGGAGTGGAGCCACCCTTAGCAAAACTGTTCTATATACAGAAGGCTGCATATGTGACAGATTCCGTAGGCCCCAAGCCCACAAGGAACGACAGTCTCTGAGCTAATACCAAAGCACTCATCAAGTCGGTCATTTAAGCCAATTCAGTTTAAGATTAATCAGTTGATAATTCCTCGGGAATTTTCTTTATCATTTCTTAGTGGATATCACTATGATCCACATAGAAATAAAAAGTTGTTAAATCCCAAATAACAAATTTGATGAACCTAAATAAAATAAAAAAAAAATTTCCTATTGAAGAAAGTGACTAATCATCATCAAAATACTCATCTTGACCTTTCAGAAAATTAAGATGGTCAAGACTCAAGAAATTTCTTAAATTGTAATTTCCTTTAACAAAATGACCTCTAAAAAAAAGATGCAAAGTTGTATGCCTTCATATAACTATACCTTTCCAATAGTGCACCACAAAATGTATTATCTCTCTCAGAAACACAAGATATAAAGGGATACAGTCATCAATTAATCAACAACAAAAAATGCAGAAAGTAAATATTACCAGTTGAGTCGTTTGTAGCATCTCCAAAGGACGCATCCATTGCACACTTAACCAAAGGAGTTCTTTGTATCATACATCTCTTTGTAGACTCGGTCCAGTTATTTCTACAGAAGATCACAATGTGCAAAAACCAATCATAACAAGTATGATAACCATACAAGACCTTCCTTATTGGAGACAATCAATGTGTATATACCTTTTTAGATGGACCGAATCTCCAAATTTCCCAATACTAGAAAAAACAGAAACGCGTTTGAAAGGTGACCCTGGGCCTCGATAAGGTACATGGAGGCAATATGTTGATGAAATACCAGTCAATCCAGACAAAGTCATCTTTACAATATCTCAAAGCTATTATCTAACTCCTATCCTGCATGCAATATAAATAATAACCAATCATAGACTGCAACGGATAAACAAATTCAACCTTATAGAATTTAGAAGAAATACACTTGAATAACTTCTAAAACATCAAAAGATATAATTATTCAAAGTAATCAGTCATGTCGATTGAAGTGTCTGGCGAATGGCATCTCAGTTTGTTTGAATAGTAAAAATGTACCAATGGAAGGGGTCCCTGTCTAGTAATGCATGGAAAAATGAAAATTAAAGACCAAATATAAAGCTGGAACTGAACCAGATATGCCAAACATCAAATCCTTTTTCTTTTTTTTTTTTGATAAGTACCAAACATCACATCAAATCCTTTTGGATGGTAAAAATTGAACTGTTGCCCTTCAAATCTCCTATGGGGGACCACTGCATAAATCCAACAGGCCCTAATCCGTGCATGCAACACCTCTAGACTTCAAGCAAACCATCAAATAATTTTGCTTTCAGGCTCTGTTAACGAGCAATTGGCCAATGCACACAAAGCAGCTAAGTTCCACAGTTCATCCAATGCAAAACTATCATAATCAATGCGAAATCCATATTCCCAATACACATTTTCATCAACCCAATTAATATTTCAACAAGTGGGAAATTAAAGAACTTCCAAATTTTTTTTTTTTAAAAAAAAAAAAAAGAGAGAGAGAGAGAGAGGAGAGGAAAGCAACCTTGCAACATCCTCAATTTTAATCATAAATTATACTCTGCCCAAAGCCATCTTTTCTTTTCTTTTTTTCTTCTTCTTTTAATCTTTAAAAAATAAAATGAAAACAGCAAAAAGACTAGTAGAACAATTAGGGCAAAAGCTAATTTCTATCAAGTACTGAGTTTTTTCTATTATTCAGTAATAATCAAATGCAGTCCAAATCCACTTCTAAGAATTAGCTAAACAGATTCTTCGTATGAAGCACAAAAACGATGTCTAGAATTCAGAGAATGAATACACAGAAGTAATTCATATTCAGTACTATCCGTTGAAGTGGTAAACCAATCTCCAAATACGTGTGTATATGTATATATATGTGCATATATAATGTTGTATAAAGTAATAAAAATAGAAAAAAGCACCTGAAGATGAAGATAACAAAGGGTTTCAATGGTTTTAGGTATTCGTTGAGCGGCGTGTAGAAACGGAAAGTGAATCAGCGCAGTGAGGCTTCTCGCCGAATAGCTAACACTCGGTTTAGAGAGAGGAGAGAGAAAGAAAGACACAGAGGGTGTGTGTGCGTTTTTACCATAAACCCAGAAGAGAGGGTAAGATAAAATTGGAAATAGTTATTTCTTATAATTTTTTTATTAAAACGCTTGCAACTTCCGTTGTAGTCTAGGTGGTTAGGATACTCGGCTCTCACCCGAGAGACCCGGGTTCAAGTCCCGGCAACGGAAAATCATTTTTGACTTTTATTATTATTATTTTTTGTTTAATTGAGAGCTTGAAATTATAATTAAAAAATATTATTTAAGAACTAGGAGTACCTTCCTTTTTTTTTGATTAATTGAGAGCTCGAAATTATAATTAAAAAATATTATTTAATAACTAGGAGTACCTTTGTCCTTTGTCTTCTTCAAAGTCATTATTAGAAGCCAATATTGTTTTTTATTAAGATTTAGAATATTTTCAGTTTTCATTTTTATTTTTTTATTGACATGAAACCTTTTAATCTAGCCATTTTTTGTATATTAAATCACAATACACACAATCTCTCACAAATCACGTATGTTGATTAAGTCAGAGTATTTATATGTCATGTGAAAGTTAAATCGAGAACGTTCGAACATACCGTTTATTCTATGTAATTCTTTTACTCTGTACTACTCGACGTTGATCATATTTTAAGTCATTTGTTGAAAAAAAAAAAAAAGTGAGCATTTTAATATCTTTTTATTGTCTTCACTAAAAGTCAATAAAAATAAAAATAAAAAAGTCATGACAAATAGTCCAAGAACAAGACTATATATCCTTTTCCAAATAGAAAATCTGAATTATAAATAAGGGAGTTAGACACAATTAGATTATCTAATCATTATAGTCATTGAATTAATAGTTAATTACAGACGCTTCGATAGCCTAATGAGTTAGTGCATCGAGTAAATTTTGGAGTGTCAGGTTTGACTCTAGATTTACTAAAAATGTAAAAAGGTTAAGCAAGAAAAGCCAAGTTTTGAGTTTTATTTATGTATAATCAAACTTAAAAAAAAAAAAGTGGAATAGTTTATTTATCTATAATTTATTTATTTTTCTCGAATAATAATTAATTATTTAAAAAAACTGGATAAAATGAACCGAATATGATTTGAAGAGAATCCATATTTTAGTTCCACTTCAATCATTCAAATAAATGGGAATGCATTCAACTCTCTTAACCAGTGCATCGTTTTTCCTAAGGTTTACTTTTCTAGAAGAAACACTTCGAACACTTGATTTAGATTATCATCTATAACATGTTAATTTTTTTTTTTTTTTTTTTTTTTTTTTAAGTTTATGAACACGTTCAAATTGTGTTGAATACATGCTTCTAATTGACTAGAATTACTTATTCAACACCCATCTTCATTGGTTACATGCTTCTAATTGACCAAGAAGTATTCAATCAACAGTGAACACCCATCTCCATATGATAAAATAATAAAAAAACAAACACATTTAAGGTTAAGGGTAAAAAATCCCCTTACACATAGGGTTTATATAAAATTAGTTCTTATGTTTTTGAAAATGTGCATGTTAGTTTATAAAATTTTAAAAAAGTGTAAATAAGTCCCTCTGACCACTTTTTGACAAAAACTAAATATGAAAATTCTATTGTACCCTTTTGATTCCCATTTGCCCCTCACCCATTAATACATTAAACGGCTCGGCTCGCCGAAAATGTGACCGGATTCTCGCCGAAAAATTCACTGGAATCAGATTTTCGACTGAGAAGACGTGTGGGGATCGTGACAGCTTGTGAGATCTACGCACAGAATTTCAGGTGGTGCGTGTAGGCACGTGTAATGTTGTCTGTGACTTTTACTTGCAGCTTCATGTTCGTCTTGGTCTTGTGGACCTTATTCTGCGATAAAAATGTGTCCGTCTCAGTTTTGTGGACATCTCTCTGCAACTCTCTCTGTATATATATATATGTGTATGTATAATCTTACAGCCAAGGAAGAGCTTTGGGTTTATGAGGGTTGAATTGATATGAATAGAGGCGAATTGAGAAGAAGCAATTGCTGACAATAATCAATTATAAAAGAAGAAAAAGAAGAATGTCATGTCTGCAAACAAAGCTCTTGACGAGACTATTGTGATTAGAGACCCACCATAGATCCACGACGCCATGCAATACTCTCTCCTCGCCAGTGCCATACGCAGCATGTCGTTATTTTGCATTGCCGCTTGCGGTGAGGAATCGAACGCCATTCCCACTGCTTGTGCACAGATTCGCAAATCTATGCAATACTCTCACCTCGCCGAAAAATAGGTTTTCTTCTACCTCACTTGAACACAACGCAAAATCCCTTTATTTTTGCCACGAACAAACCCACTGAGCTTTTGTTGTACCAATTTGAAGACCAGGATTGCAATTAAACTTGATATTAAGCATCTACATACCACATCATGCCCTAATCAAACTAATCTTGATAATCACAATTACTGTGGAACCAAAACCCAAATATAATGAAGAGAGAAGAGAAATGCCCTGTATTTATAATTATTAATTTATTCAAGTGAGGGTATTATAGATATTTTATAACACACAGGGACCTATTTGCACCAAATTGATAGTATATAGGGATTTTTTTACCACACAAGGACCATTTTACACTATATCGATAATAGAGAGGGGTTTTTTGCACTTAACCCATACATTTATCACAGATTTTCTATTACCAAAAAAACATGTAATGGGTTTGTACTTCGCAATTCGATCAAAAAATTTAAGTTATTAGGTGGAGTTAACATACCCAATTCATATATACCAGTCACTATTTCATTTGGATTCGATATTGGACAAACTCTCCCTTGTTGCATTCTTTTCTTGCGTTCGAGTCACCCTGTCTACTCGAGTAGCCACCTAAATATTTTTCGGGTCAGACACTTAGCGTAATATCGGATAAAAAATGAGTTTAAACCAACTATAACAAGTGAGTATTTCGCAATTCGATACAAAATCATACCAGAGAAGGCAATGTGAGAAAACATAATGAAATTAGGAAGATAATTCACGTTACCAATTACTCCTAGGTACATTGGTTTGAGACACAGGCAATCACGATTATACGATTTGACTTGAATTTCACTTTTCAAATAAAATTATATAATAATCATTATTGGCAAGTACGTGAAATAAATGTCTTAATGTCGTCTAACAAAAGTATTGATTGGGACCTGATTGTAATTTTCTTTAGCAATCGGAAAGTTGTAATTTTCTTTAAACTCATGAATTATCAAATTTAGTTATAAAATATCTCATTGACTATTGTTCTTTAAATGATCATAATACCCTTTTTATTAAATTACAGTTAATTTATTTTTTTTGTTAAAATAAATTATAAAAAAATTCATATTAATTTGATGAAATATTTTACATTTAATTTGCATAATTTTTTCTTTATTTTGAAATTAATTATTTAAATAAAAATCTTAAGTAGAAAATTTTGAAATAATTTAAGTAATTTCTTAATTTTTCATGAATATATTGCATAAAAAATAAGATATTTTTTATTTGCATAATTTATTAATTTTTCACGAATATTGTATGAAAAAGAAGGAATTTTTTTACACTATTTGTTTTAAAGTGAGTATAATAGGTTTTATTATAATAAGTTAATCATTTCAGAAAATGGTAGTTACTAATCTATTTATTATTTTTTATTTTTATGATAAATTGATACTAATTATAAAATTAAGGTAAATGGTATAATTAATTTTTAAATAAGAGAAAATATAATAAAAAATAATTTAATAAGAAATGACAATTTTAATAAGAAAGGGTAAAATAGTATTTTGTGATAAATTTGTCCTTAATTGTAACAAATTAATAGTTCAGGAGGCAATATTTAATTCAGGAGTTTATTTACAAAAAAGCAATAGTTTAAGGTATAATTCTCTAGCTTTGGGTTACGATAGAGATGGTGCCTTTTTCTATTAAAAGTGCACATCACCTTGTTGAAGCTTGGTTTTTGAATTTGAGAGTTTGGTCAAGAGAGAGGAATTGGATCCAAAGATAAGTCACCAGCCAAATTGAGAAGAGGCTATGGAAAATCCAAAGAACGGAAAAGTAATGCACTTCTTGTGGCGTTGTTAGCATAATAGGAAATGACTATTCTATCATTGGTCGGGTATTATGTTCTTGGTACCTCCGGAGTACCCAATACCTGTCCGGCCTGGTGAATGCTATGGTGTTGCGTATGTAGAGCCTATAGAGCATAAGTTCCATCGATGTCCCCAAGCTGTTCTATCATGGAAAATGTGTCCGTTTGGCATTGACATGGTCTGTGTGGTGGCATACCTTTTTGAGCAATGGAAGGAGGATGTTCGTGTCAAATTTTTATTGTTTTTAAGTTGGTATATTATTGAACAATTGAATGAGTCTCACGTCAATTGGTAAAAGAAAAAAATTCTAGAATTTATGGGAGTAACGGTCACTTTACTTAATGAGTTAACTTTTTGAGTTGGATACTTTTAACTAAACAACTGATCCCTCAGCGGATCGGAACATTTTATTTGTGAGAGAGCCTTGCACGAAGGGAAATTTGGGAGTTAATATTGGGGAAGAGAATCTTTTGCTACAAGGAATAGTATTTCTATGAAGATTGAGAGTGATTGGCCTGCCTGGCATTTACATGAAAGCTCAAAAGGATTGTATTTATCCTCCTCCATTTTAATGAATTTTGATTGTTTGGGCCAAATTTAAAAACAGAAAAGTGTTTGTAAGAAATAATAATAACCATATAATAGTTTTACGAATTAAGTTTGGGGAAGAGGAAGTATCTAATATTACTTGGTATTATGTCAACCAATGTTGAATTGCTATTTTGTATTGATGTAAGACTGTTTTAGTAGGTTTTATATTATTTTTATTTTTGTATAATTTTTAGGGAGTTTAATTTTAAGTTTTACATTTCCTTCTACAATTAATTTCTTTATATTTTTAATTTACTTTAATTAAGTAGTTTCTTTTATGTCATTAATAGGGTTTTATTTATTATAAAAACATATAAGATTAACCATTAAAATATTATATTTCTTTTGTGATATTTTTTTTCTTTGTACTTTCAATGTATCTTATCTTGTAGAGAGAAGATCGTTGCTTCTGCTGCATCATCTATTATTAAGAAAATTGAAGAGTTTTCATTGATCAAACACTTGCATATGCATAGTAGACACAAGGTGATATTGAATACTGTGTATGTGCCTCTGTGTATGTATATATATATATAGATCATATACCCCTATTATATATATACATACATACATGTATAAGAGAAAGAGAAAGAGAAAAATAGGGGAATATGATGATATGAAATTGTGATTTTATTTAATTTGACAGAGGTTGTTTAGAAAAGTAATTTGCCATAATAAATGGGTGCAATGCAAAGTAAACGATGATGGGCCTGGCATGGGGACATGGGTTGTGTTGTGTCTACTCAACTGGATACCCGGAAGATGTGAAATGTAGCGGTTATAAACTCATCATAATATCACAGTAAACCCCATTCAAACTTTTATTTATTTATTTTTTGGTCCCTATGACTGCAGACAAAAGTTGAATGTGAGTCGAGAGAGAGAGAGAGAGAGAGAGAGACAGAGCCCCAGTCCGTGTTTTGGTGGTGGTCTTTGACGTCTCTGACTCACTTTTCTCCCACTGCCCAAAAGCCCTTTCACGTGTTCCCAATACCAAACAATTCCCCACCCAGCCGCGTTTGACGCTCTCCTTCTCTCTCTCTCCTTTGTCTCTCTCTAAACTCTCTCTCTCCTCTCTCCTGTGTGTGTTATTCGTGTTGCCGAAAGCTCACCTCACACAACTCCACCTGTCCCAACCCCATTTTGCCAAATTGTCAAACACCTTGCATATATCTCATCACCTCCCTCATCTCCATGTGCCGACAATCAAAACCCCAATTCCGAAATCTGGGGTTTTTGTAATGGAAGACCATAATTCGGCTTCACCCCACTGCACCACCCACATGGAAGCTCAGAACCCAATTTCCGATGAAGCTTTACACGAATCAATTCACGAAATGGATGATTCGCAGATCGTCGGAGCTCCGGTGATTGTCGCCGGTGATGGGGATGGTCCTTCAGCTGCGAAGGCAGAGGGGGACGCTAGAGGAAGGGGCGGGAAGAAGAGGAGGCGGACTTTGTTGCCGAGGGTTCAGGCGAGACGACCGCCGCCGCCGAGGAAGAAGAAGGAAGAAGAGGACGTCTGCTTTATATGTTTCGATGGTGGAAGTCTCGTGCTTTGCGATCGCCGGTGAGTGGATTTTTTTTTTTGTTTAATTGTAGAAAATATCTGTTTTTGCTTTAGTTTGCTGCCAAATTCGTTCTACCTTTTTTGTTATTCCATTGACTTAGGTATTGTTTAGCTAAAGCAATTTTGCAATTTTTTGCTTCTGAGAGCAAAATTGTTGTGGCATTTGCTCAGATGATTGTGAAAGGTATTTCAAAGTGATAATTAAACAGTCAATCGGCTGAGTACCTTGTTTGTTGATTCCATTTTTGGGTTGTTGCTTGTTAGGGGCTGTCCTAAGGCATACCATACTACTTGTATTAAGCGCGACGAGGCATTCTTTAGATCAAAGGCTCGATGGAATTGCGGTATGTTGCTTTGAGTGAATCAATATTTCTTGGCATATGTGTCAGTTTGTTCTGTTTCTCTTGGATGATATGGTAAAGAATTTAGAACATTGCCATCTTACAATGCTGTAGAGGTTTGACCAATTGGCAACATATACCTAGAAGTTGTACAGGCCCATTCAGTAGTCGCCGAGGATCGAATTTGATGGGTAAAATCTGTTTCTCTGGAAGCTCATCTCGCGATCTGGGATGACTCTTTCAAGAAAATCAAGTGGAATCCATCAGGAAATGTAATGGCAATGTTCAGGAAACTTAAAACTTTCAAAATGTTCACTTCTATGATTTCTATATATATTTTTTCTATTTTCTTGAAACCATTTTTTCAATAATGATGCATGATTTCTTTAGCTATTGTAAAAATGTTTATACTGTGATTACCCTACAGTTTTTCTAATGCTTTATATTAATTTTTTCTGCAAGTTTTATTTCAAACAATTTCTTTCTGTTTGTTATGGTTATTGAACCGCATTTCTCTCTTGCGGAAACCACTTTTGTCTCTTCTTCAGGTAACTATGATCAACTCCTCTTTGCTTTTCTTTGGCAGTTAACATTAATTAGGAAGTATTAATAGAGATTTAAACCAGAGGAGTGATCATGCTGGGAAAAGTATGGAAAATGTCATGAAAACCATCCAAATTTTGTTATCAATCTTTGAATGCCCCATAAAAAAACAACCCACCTACGATTTTTTAATTTTTTACATTAAGAAACCATACGTGTGGAGTAAGACATGCCAATGGAGCAAAGTTGATTATTATGTCTCTGATTTATGTAGACATTGTTGGTGTACGTTACTTCTATGCAAACTAATGGTGTACATTACTCCTTGTGGAAGTTTCCGGAGGAGGCCAACTGTATTTGGAAAACTGTTGTATTGGGTGTGGCTGGCAGTTCAAGCTGTGGTTAGCATCCTGGATGGCAATTTGGGAATCATCCCTATGGGTTGCCAACAATGCAAACATTATTACTACTAGTATTTTAGAGCTACTCCAGTTACCACAATCATTAGCACTTTAGTCTGGAGACACTGGATGTTGCGCAAATTCTCAACCACAACCTCTTGAAGAGAAACCACCTCCACCCTGCTCCAGCTTGGGCTGCTTACTAGGTGAATATTGGTGTTCAACACATCAGTTCACGGTTAAAAAGTTCAGACTCTAGCCCACTGAGCAGTGGCTGTTTTATCTCATGCGTCAACTCAAATATGATGCTGTTCTTGAGGATGGAAGGATATAAGTAGGATTCAAGCAGTCATTCTGTTTTGACGATTGAGTTGGATCCGAACTTGGAAACTTCTATCTTAGCTAGTTGTGAGATTTGAGTGGATGAGCAAGAATGTACCCCAGTTAAATACACAACCAGAAGATGGATATCCCTCATTTGGCACACTAGTAGACTAATAGTAATCTCCTTGAGATGTGTTTTGTATTGATTGTTACTTACCAGTATGGTAGTGCTATCACCATATTGCTCTAATTGAGAAACTTGTTAGGTTGGGTTACTAAATGACCAATGAAATATGATTCCTCTCTCATCATAAATATAGTGTATAGTGTCTTATTCTTACACAACACGTCCGAAACATTAAAAAGGGAGGAGGATTGCATTTGGTAGCGGACGATAAGGTAAAGCCTTTACTGAACTCCTTATGATCATGAACTTTACAATATTTTGAGTAGTATTGAGGGTTTTAATTAAGCAATGCGTTGTATCAATCTTGGGTGCTTCAAAAAATGGGGAAAAAAATGCTATATTGGACCCTAAATGCAGCGAAAGGTGGAAAGGTTCCTTTGGTATTCTGCGACAATAGCATGTTTAGATTATTGATCTGGAATATTAATATTTATCTTCGTCTGGTTTTTATGCATTTGGAGGAAACTTATAATAGGGTCTCTAGAGATGTAATATGATGAATTTTAGAAAATAAATGGGCAAGAATATACTTTTGACGCGATCAAGGGCATGCATGATAGAGCTGGGATTCCAATAAAAATAACTAGAGGGGAAACGAGTGAAGTTCCAATCTTGATAGGCTTGTATTAGGGATCGGCATCAAAGCACTATCTTTTTGTTTTAGTTGTGAATGAACTGACAAAACACATTCAAGATGACGTTTTATAGTTTATGATATTTGCTTAGAATGTTATTTTGATTGTTGAAATTGAAAAAGAGAAAAAAATAAAAATAAATTAGAGTTTGGAGATAATCTCTAAAATCAAGAGGCCTTGCGATAAGTAGGATTAAAACTGAATATATGGAATGTATTTTCAGCATAATTCGCAGTCGCGGATGCAGTGTATCGGAATTGGACCCGTATTGGCATAACTTAACGGAATTGATTATCGTAGTCGTGAATTTTTTTTGGCCTCGCACATAGTGCTTAAATTGCAGTTATATGCAACTTTTTACCATAACTCAATAAAGATGGATATTTAATGAATTTTAGTGATTTTTATTGAATTCTCGAAGATCATTTAACACAACTAATAACCTATAAGTCAATAGCATTATTAAAAAGGCTTACTAATTTTTAACAAAAATAAACTAAATTTTGAAATAAATGAAAATTCACTCCATATATAATGCGTGTAAACTAAAAACAAAAAATAAATATGGAGATTGCATCTACTAAATTTATTCCTTTATATGGTGTTTATTAAGAATATGAAAAGAAACAATGTTATAATTAGATTCACTTCAATGCCTCAAGATTGCCAGCATGACGCTTTTCCGCTCCATTTGAAAATCTTCATTCCTTTCCGTGAAGTGTCATCGAAGGTGTGTTTTTCATCACATTAGTGTTCTTGTGAGAACTGAAAGAATTAGGTTGCACCTTTTTATGGCAAAACAAGGAAGGCTATGACTAATGGGTGACAACTCAAAGATTTCTTTCAACCAATTAAAAATTTCGTAAATGAATACTTCAACATTTAACTTTGTTTACACTTTTTATGTCATAGATGAACATAGAGGAATTAAGGGATAATAATAATACCATGTTATTGTCATATCACAAATTGTGAGTTTGTTTGTTTCAAAGGAGTCCCTCATTTAAGCAGGTCTAACAGCTTTTGCTTCTAATTCATTGGATTTCATCTCTAATAGATGTAGATCTTTTTAATTTTATTTATTTATTTTTGAATGAGTATAATCTTTTGCTGGGGTTAGGGGAAAAACAATAAAAAATCATTCTAAGACTCTTCTTATATTTTTCTATCCTTGTTTGATGAGGCTTAGAGCCTTAGACATTTCTCACATCGAAACTTTTGAAGAAGAAGTGAGCAAAGAGTATCTTTAAAAGCTAAGCCTTAGACTTGTCCCACATCGAAACATTTGAAGAAGTGAGCAAGGAGTGGCTTTAAAAGCATCGCAAGGGAGTTTCACATTGAAGTTTCATTTTTAGAAGGAATAGCCTGTTTCTATGAGAGAAACGGGCCTTCAAGCATTGAATTTTAATTCACGGTTAAACTGGCCTGCTCTGTGAGAAAGCTGGCCGGTTCTTGGCCATAATGGCCGTTTGGCATTAGGAATCGGTCGGTTATGTGAGAACAGGCCGGTTCTCACGTGAATTTTAGGACTCACTGATATATCGTTGAGTCTCGGAATTGGCCTCTCAATTTTTTGTTGCGGATGTCGTAAAACCAAAGGTAAAGAGATACCGAGGAAAATAATTTTGTGAAAGCAAGAGGAGATTGAAGATGATGTGGTGCATAAAATTAAAGCTAGATGGATCAAGTAGAAAAGTGCTTTTGACATATTATGTGATCGGCATCAACCTCTTCAATTGAAAAGTAAAATTATCTAAAGCCATGCTTTATGGGATGTCCATGATGGGCGACTAAAAAAATGATCATGAAATGAGCGTGGCCGCAATGCGTATATTGAGCTGAATGCCTAAATGTGTGGTAATATAGGAAATAATAAAATAAAAAATTAATATATTTGAGGGACTGTGGAAGTAACACTGTTGGTGATAAATAAGGGAAAGTAATAGGTGTAGCAAAGACAATAATCGCACCAGTGAGGAAGAGTAATTTGGTCAACATTAAAGGTAATGACAGGGGAGAGTGAAGACTAAGATTAATATGTGCAAGGATAGTGAGGTAAGATGTGGTAGCATGTGGTTTAATTGGAGTTATGGCTTTATAGAGTAGTTCATGTAACTGAAGGAGTTGGGACAAGACTTTATTGAGTTGGAGCGAATTTGGATTCCAAGAAAATCATACCCAGATTCTTAATGGAAAAAATCAATCAAATGCTAAGAGAATTGTCAAATTAGGTTTTAGGTTGGACTATTAAAGGCCTGCATCATTTTTCGTGATAATGGTGGTGTTGTCTTCTAAAAGGTACTCTGTTTCCTTTTAAGATCATCTATCTTTTGTATTTCCTATTAAAATCTAGATCTTTTGAAGTTTTGTGGTTCTTTGTGTGTCATGTCACGGAGTGTTGTCAATATGGTTAATGTTTCAGTCCATGACGTGGGAATATTTTCTTGGGTATTTGTTAGTTTTTTCCTTGATAGACTTGAATGCCTGCATTACTCCTTATTTTATCCTTCTTTTTATGTTTATAGATGCATGGTATTGTGATTCCTTGTAATGCAACATTGTACGCACGTCAATTTGTAGCTCATGATCTGGCTTTTTATTGAGTTCTGTTTCTGAATTACTCCTTATTTTATCCTTATTTTTTATGTTTATAGATGCATGGTATTGTCATTCCTTGTAATGTAACATTGTATGTATGTCAATTTGTAGCTTGCATGATCTGGCTTATTACTGAGTTTTGTTTCTTGCAGTTGCCAGTTGTTGTTGATCTGTATTTAGTTACTCTCTTTTTTTATTATTATTTTTTTAAAATAAAAGAAGTAATTATTAATGTCAACACTCGTAAAGTTTCTCCATTTTTAATTTCCTGCTGTTGGAATACATTTCAGGTTGGCATATATGTAGTAGCTGTCAGAAGGCTGCCCATTATATGTGCTACACTTGCACATATTCATTGTGTAAGGGATGCACCAAAGATGCCGATTACGTGTGTATAAGAGGGAACAAAGGCTTTTGCACAACATGCATGAGAACTATTTTGCTGATTGAAAATAATGAGCAAGGAAATAAGGAAACGGTATGTAAAATTTTATCTATTTGGCTTTTTTAGGCTGTGTTTTCTCTGCTCGGTCAAGCTCTTCATCATTGGGATGAGTTGAAGCTGGTTAAGGTCCTTTTTTTTCTGTGTCATTTCTCTCCTAGTTCCAACATTCGAAATTGTTCTCCACTCTGGTTTAGCTTAACCAGTGGTGTTTTCAAACAGCCAGAACTATCAACTGGTTGTTTTTGTGACTTTATAGCAACCATGTTGAAGGAGGTCTAGGTAGCAAATAATATATATACATACATACATACATATATATATATATATATAATTGTTTTGTTTGGGGTTTTTTGGGGGGGGGGGGGGGGGGGGGGGGGGTTGGGGGGGTGTGAGTGTCTGAATGGTGAAGATGGACATTTTCTTCACAACAATTGACTTGGTAACACCCAGCTGGTGTTATGTATTTTACTTACTCCTCTATACAAGAGAAGAAAGTATGAGAATGGAAAGAGTTAGAAAATAGGAAACAACATCAATACTAGAGGATTTTTCTCTACCGATTCCTCTAGTAACGGTAAATCTTCAATGATAGGAAAGAACATCAATGCTGGAGGATTTTACTCCATTGATTACCCAACTTGCCATTTAGATGACAAGTAGCAGCAAGTGCAAATGATGAAGAGGTGTAATAAGATGACCTCAATAAAAATGGATCTAGAGATCCAAGACTAGTAGCAGCAGCCTCAATTGATGAACAGGTGTAAGAAGATGACCTTAATAAAAATGGATCCGGAGATCCAAGACAAGAACCAAAAATGGCTCAGATGAAAAGAGAGAAATGAACACAAAACCTTGTCTGCTCTGGTACCATGTTAAAAATGAATAAATAAACAAAGTATGAAGAATACAAAGGCAAGGATATACGTGGTTCAGCAACTAGGGCTTACATCCACGGCACACAAAGCCCAAAGGGCTACATCACTTTTATTATACTCTTTCTTTTCATTCACAATACAATGGTGAAGGCTCCTTTATATAAGAGAAGAAATTACGAGAATGGAAAGAGTTAGAAAATAGGAAACAACATCAATACGAGAGGATTTTTCCCCGATTCCTCAAGTAACGGTAAAGCTTCAATAATAGGAAAGAACGACAATACTGGAGGATTTTCCTACGCTTATCCCTCCGGTAAATCTTCAACAGATAAGAAATGAAACAGTTCCATGGACAAATACTGTTAATGATTTCAGCACAGACATGCAGTGTCTAGTGTATCAGAAGAGAAATAAAAAGAATATGGTGAAACGATGAGGGTTTGTCATGTGGATAACTGTGGTGGTTGTAATTTTTATAAGTGGAAGAATGCCACAAGAAATAACATTATTCTTGGAAAATTTAATGGATTTACTGGATAGGGATTGATGTTGAATCAGTACTGTCCTACTGAAATTATGGTTTGGTTCAGAAGTGTATCATGTTTAGATTGTAATTCTTTGGCTTTCTGCTTCTGCCATTTTTATTCTTGTTTGTTTAACTTGTGCAGGCTCAAGTAGATTTTGATGACAAGAGCAGCTGGGAGTACCTCTTCAAGGTATACTGGATATACTTGAAAGAAAAGCTATCTTTAACTTCAAATGAGCTCATTCGAGCAAAGAATCCCTGGAAAGGAGCTGGTACTATGGCCTTCAAGCGGCAATCATCAAATTTACATTGTGGTGGCAAAGGTTCTGCTTTAGACAACTCATCTGTACGCAAGGAGACAAATGGTTCTAAAAGAAGAAAGATCAAGGAACATCCAGAGTTCCTCAAAAAGGACACTTTGAGCATGGGTAAATTAGATAGTGACAAAGGCATAATTATGATTGGTTGCACAGAATGGGCTTCTAAAGAGCTTTTGGAGTTTGTTGCACACATGAAGAATGGTGATACATCAGTTCTAACTCAATTTGCTGTCCAGGCTCTTTTGCTAGAATATATAAAGAAAAACAATCTTCGTGATCCTTGTTGCGAAAGTCAAATCATATGTGATTCGAGGCTTAGTAATCTGTTTAAGAAATCATGTGTGGATTATTTTGAAATGCTAAAGCTTCTTGAGTTGCACTTTCATATAAAAGAGGATTTCCCGAACGAAGCTAGTAAGCCTATTATTCAAGAAAGCATTGATGATGCTGTTGCAAGACAAGTGGATGCTGACAGTAACAACGGCAACATACTGATGATGGGAAAAGATATGAAATGTAGACCCCGTAAAGAGGGCGAAGAGAAAGGACCACAAATTAGTGTAGATAAATATGCCACAATCGATGTTCACACAGTCAATTTGATTTACGTGCGCCGTAATTTGATGGAGACTCTAATTGAAGATAATGAAAAGTTCCACGATAAGGTTGTTGACTCGATTGTGCGAGTAAGAATTTCCAATAGTGACCAGAAGCAAGATATGCATAGGCTTGTCCAAGTTGTAGGTATACCTGCACATCTTTTACAAGCTGCAGTTCTTTGAACAATTTTGTAGTCTTTAAATCACACTTATTATCACAAGGGGATAAAACAAAGACTAATAATACTTGGTCTGATATCGTGGACGTGTTGATATTTTTCGTACAGGTACAAGTAAAGTGGCTGTACCATATAAACTTGGTGAAAGGACGGCTGATGTCATGCTTGAAATATTGAATCTAGATAAGAAAGAGACTGTATCAATTGATGCAATTTCAAATGAAGAGTTCTCTGAGGTATTTAACAGAATAAATCTTCTACTTTCCCAGTTTCATATTTGTTTGATTCTTAACGGTAATTTGATTACAAATTTCTACCTTAAGTATTTTCTGATAATAGTCGGAATGTTGCTTCTGTAACTACATGCAATTTGCTGATTGCTGCCACCCGTCTTAATAGGTCTAATTTAAATGAAATCAAGAAGTTTGTGCTTGCTATATCACTTAGTGTCTATATGAGTTCTTGAGGCTTCTGTGTTGGCTAATTGTTATAGATTTTTGTCACATTTCTGGTATAGTGTTTTCTTCAATAAGTTTATCGAAAGTAATTGTCATAAAAATCTTGCATAAAGTGGCATGATGTTTATTTGTTGTATGGTATACCTATCATTGTTTTGTATGGCATGTCTTCTTGTCTAATTGTTCCCGACATACTACACGTGCATATTTTGTATTATTAATTCCTTTTGCATTCATTGGTTTCTGATACAAATGGCTCTAGTATCATAGATGACTTAACCTATCCTAGTTTGATACCGGTTTAACTTCTCGCTACTACATTCTTTTCTTATCTTATCCATATTGCAACTCATATCAACATCCCCATGTTGGATATACTAATTTTACCTTCTTTATTTAGAAAATGATAAAAATGTATGTTTTGTTTCTTGACAGCCCAGTGGTGCCAGTACAATGTGATATATAGTAGTGCTGATTTTATATTTAGCTTATTCTATGGTTATCTTTTAACTTCTCTCTTTTAGTTGACAAAATTCCATTATGACATTACAAACTAGAGGCACTTTGTTACATTGACTTGTGCTGAACTTAACACATCCCCCTTTTGATTATCCTTCGTTACAGATGACTAAGCCAGTCTTCAGACAACGAAATGGTTTTTTTTTTTTTTTTTTTTTTTTTTCCCCCTTTATTGGAAGGTATTGATATATACCGTGTTACTGAAATTTAGCCTTGGCATGGTGTATTGCTGCAACATGAAATATATTGCCAAAAAAAAAGAAAGAGAGAGAGAGAGAGAAAACACGAAGATATACAGGATACATTTCATTCATAAAGCACTACCACCCCCCCCCCCCCCCCCCCCCCCCCCAACCCCCCAACACACACACACACCCAAAACACCCAATTAATGCCTAGAAAAACAGTTTCATCCTAGAATTCGTATTCTTTTCCTAAATAAATTTAAAAAGGATCTTGCTCGTTATGTACTACAGCTACAGAGCTTAAAACATGACTTGTACATGTAATTCCAAAGTTACCATGTGGTTAAAGTCAGCAACGTTGTCTATATGATTTTACACAATCAGTTATATCTTTAGCCATCTGTTTTGTGTTATGATTTGGGGATTTAATTAAACATCCTTTATAAGGTGAGTTTGGATGAGGTTTTGTTGAGTTGTCCTTTATTCTGAGCGCTTTAATGTCGTTAACAATTTTGTGCTCAATACTGTCTGAGTAGGTGTAGTAATCTGAAGCATTGTTGAACATATACACGTGTGCACCATTTTACGCACTGAATTCATTCGTCATAAGATATCCTTTTGTTTAGGTTTTGATGCATCATTATGTTTCCAGGACGAATGCAGATATTTACAGCATAACATAAAATGTGGGCTTGTTAAATGGTTTACTGTGGTAAGTACATGTTAATGTCTTCTACATTTTATCAAAAGTATATATGTATTTACCGTATTCTGCTAAGAAGATTCATCCTTGGTTGTAGGGTGACATACAGGAGAAAGCAATGGCACTTCTTCAGGCAGTGAGACATAATGATGTAAATTTCTCAGCTTTTAATTGTAATGCATAAACACAACATATTATGCTGATGCGAAGTTGATATCAATTGTTGTTGGTTTCCAATTTTGCTAAATTCTTACAATGATCCTATTTATTGCATAATTTAGTATACTCTACTCAACTCAACAAAGCCGTTTTACAACTGCTTGGGGTTGGGTACATGAATCCTAGATTCCTAACTCTTATCATTTCTTGTCTTGCCTCACATCCGTCTGAATATTCACATTTCCGCCACACTCACTTTGTGCATATGTTGTTTCTTAGCTGCCCAACATTCTGTTCCATAAAGAACGACAGGTCTAATATACATTTTCTAGAATTTCCCTTTCAATCTTAATGGGAGATGTTGATCGTACGATGTACTAGATGCACTCCTCTATTTAACCCATCTTGCCTTCATTTTTATGATGTCATGGTTTAGTATATCTACTTCATTGGATACTGTGAGAATTGGTCTCGGGACTTGCATTGCTGCTGTGGATGTTATCATTTTATTTATTTATTAATTTTTTTTTTTTTGTAATTGTAGTGGCTGGAAAAAGAGATATTGCGGAGCAATCATCTTCGTGTTAAAGAGAGTGAAAAGGGGCACAAAAAAGAATATCCTTTGTTGATGGCATGTATTTTGATCTTCCTAATACCTTAAATGTGACTGATTGCTTGTTTATTGGGTTGAGCAACTTTGTGTCAGATGTGATAATATTGGACCTTAAACCCCAGGGGAGAGAGGAGAAAAAAAAGCCAGAAGTTGCATCTCTATCTGAAAGGAGATAGAGATCTGTATTAAACAAGTTTATATGATCTGAAAAGCAAAAGAAAGCATTGTAAAAATTTCCATGCTTTTCTACTGAACAATGGGTGCTATACTTGTATGACAAATGACTTCACCTGATATAGTTACCATTTTAGGACAAATGTCTACCTAGGCTGGTCTGGTTTAGGGTGTGATTCCTCCACGACAAGCATATATGAAGTATGTTCTGATGGTAGTGTACCATCGAATCTGCTGCAATGAGCTCAACTAGTCTTCATTGTATGCTATTTCTAGGTAATGCATATGTGGGATGTAGGTATATCTTAGTCCATACAGCTAGATCTGGTCCAAAAACCCTAGTGTTCATGTGGAATATCTTCTAGTGATATTTGTTTCTTAAGATGGCGCCCTTTATTTCAGTCTATACAGTTGAATTAGACATACCTCTCTTCCATGACCATGTCCACATGGAATTTCGCTCAATGATACTACTTAAATTAGAATGAAGTGTCTGCGTTCCTTTGCTGGGGTTTGGGGGATTTACCATAAGTGATAACGTAGGGAAAGTATAACTTCTCACAACTGTGCAAACCATGACTTTCTCAATTTACTCTCATCTTGTCCTTGATTGGTGTGCTTTAACTTCTTAGAATTGCAATTGTTGTTAATTGTGCTTGCCTTGCATCTCCATTAGATTCATCAATTCTCTCATTCAAGCTATGGGTAATATGCTTATTTTGTGGATTTTCTTTTTCATGACTGCCCAACATTCATCATCATCATCATTTTTGCCTTAACCCCATATGAAGGGATTGGCCAGATTAATTATCTTTTTCAATTATTTTCTATCACAAGCTGTTTCTCCTATTATATTTAATTTTTAAAAGTCCTTTCTATTACTTTGTCCCATTTTAGTTTAGGTCAACCTTTTTACCTCTTTCCTTCTACGAAAACTACCCTTTTCTTATTGGCCTATCGATGGGTCTATGTTGTACATATCCAAACCACCTAACTGTGCTTTCTCTTATATTAGGGCTAATAGGTACCACTCCTGATTTCTCCTCACATTTTGAGTACAATCCTCTCTTCTAGTCATTCTTATCATCCATTTCAACATTTTCATGTCAGCTACATAAATGTGTTGTTCTTGTTTGTTTTTTAGCACCCAACACTCTAGGATAGGTGGTCTCATTACTATTCTAAGAACTATTCTTTTAAATTGTTTGATATTCTTTTATTCGACTGCCCAGCATTCTCTATTATAAATCATGATTGTTTATTATTGTTGTTGTTATTATTATTTTTATTATTATTCTATCATAAAGGTTACCTTTATGCATTGAGTGTGGGTTCAAATCTTTAGGGCATCCAATTTGCACAAATAAAAGCCAAATGTTTGGTCTGTAAATAGTTTGCCCCTCCCATAAAGGCCCAAGGCGCACTAAAGTACCGAAGCTCTTTTGAAGCCTAAGCGCAAGGTGCAATATAAGGGAATGCCTGATGTAAGTAAGGCACGTATGTAATAACAATGCATGTTAATTATACAAAATATTGCTAAGCTTGGTAGAGATAGGAACTTACCATTAGATGAACTACTGATTTCATTGTACTGAAAATGATGCAAGTGATATCCGATACTTAACCACTCTATTATTTTTATTTGTTACTAGACGAATATAATTGGATATGTGCTGATATTCCTTGACAAGTTCCACGATTAGAGAGTGTATAGAGAAATTACAGCTTCCACCTGAGGAACCTCAGCGCAGACTGCATGAAATTCCGCAAGTACATGCTGATCCAAATTATGAATTTGAAGAAGATGCTGGAGAACTTAATGCTAAGAAAAAAGGTCCCTTGAATTGCATCGTGGACATGACACTTAAATCTGTCAATTGTTAATTTCATTCTGTTCCTTCTTTCAAATATGGCTACTCATGGTTACTCTTATTTCTGTATATGCAGATGAATGTGTGATATCATATTCTGGATTTGGTAGAAAGGGAAGGGGTTCGGTGTCTCCACGAAAAGGGGGTGATATTTCAAATGATATTGGTGGCAAGGCATGGAAAGTTTCAATGACCTGTGGGCAAAGCAGGAACACGTGTAATTCAATTTACCCTGATAAGGAAAGTCATCCCTTGGATGCGAGAAAAGATTCGTGCGGGTCGAATAGTTTAGAGAAACCAGGAGACCAGGTTGATTCTGCTGGTTCAGCGTTTGGTGATCGGTATAGTCAAGCTGTGTTGAGGTCCGGTTCATTTTCTGGGGTTGCATCAGGAATTTCAACTGCACCTCTCTCTACTGGAATGGCACCATCTCTTAACAAAAGTGAGAAAGACAAATTGTGGCACTATCGAGACCCAAATGGAAAAATTCAAGAACCAGTTTCTATGGTGCAGCTGCGTGAGTGGAGAATGAGTGAAAACTTCCCACCCGGTATGAGAATATCGGGTGTAAATGATAAGCAAGATGTGTCATTATATAGTTGTGATGGCAGGTGGGGTGGGAGTATGAATACAGTTATTATAGACAGTAAACAAAGTGAGGGAAGCTGTAACAGCAATAATGCAAAATCACATTCTAGTGATATCAATGAAACTATGAGCATTACTTGTTGCTCACATTTACAGGCTGGAAATTCTTCTCAATGCTGTGACTCATCCGAGTGTAATAATCCATCTTCTGACCTGCCCCAAGTACATAGTCAGCTTTTCCCATCCACATTGTCTGGGCGTCTACATGGAAATCTGACACATCAAGGAAGAGATCTAGAGGGCAAAAGATGGAACTCTGGTCCGAATAATTGGAATTCACACGGGACTGCAGTGTTTAAAACTATGGGTGTACATAGTCATGAGAACAAATGTAATAGTTGGGGCCATCCAGGCCAATCTTCTGGACAGAACTGGAAACCTTTGCCTGTAAATTTTTCTTCCACCCACCAGAATTCTAGCTCCAATCTTGCTTATGTGACCAAATCAACAGATTCATCAGAGCAGCACCGTGAAATTGGTTTCGTGAAACTGCCTTGTTGCACACAGAAGCCAAGCAATGGGAATTGGGAAAGCCAGGCTGCTGATAACAAGCAGTCTGTGTCGTCAAATGCTCCTGATCAAGAGTCACGTATTCAGGATCTGCCAAATGCTACAGAAAAATCTAGCATTGGGAACGAGAAAGGTCGGGTTACTATAAACAAGCAATCCGTGTCTTCAAATTTTCTTGATCAAGATTCAGGCCCTAGTTGGAGCAGTGCTTCTAGTCTTGTGGCTGGCAGTGGAACACAACTTCCTGAAACAGCTGATGAATGGGATGGATATTCTGCTACTCCGGCAAAATCTTCTGTAGAGGAATTAGACTCCAGTGTCGTCTCTGTCACTTCATTGAAACCACCTGAAGTGTTTGGTGATCATGCTGCTACCCCTACATCAAAGATTGAGCAACTTGCTTATTCTCCCCCATCTAGTTGGCAGGCAATTGATGCCGAGCCCATTGAAATTAGCACTTTGGCCGAGGAATCAGTCTCAGATCTGTTGGCTGAAGTAGATGCAATGGAGTCCCAATACGGCTTGACTTCCCCTACTTCGAAGCTTAACTGTGGTGGAGAATTGATGCAGAATTCTAAAGACGATTGTTTTAATTCCATTGAGGTGTCAAGCCCTACACACAATCCAGGAAAAAGTAATGCTTTTAGCTCCACTAGTGGTATACAATTACCTTCTCAATCGACTATGACAGATGAAAAACTTGGGTCATCTCGGGATGATATTCTTGATCCTGTAAAGAGGTCTGGTGGGCACTCCTCTACAAGTGCACAAGGGGAGGGAGAGACATGGTTTGGTGATGTCCCTGTTATGCATTGCAATGCTGGTTCTAATATCCAGCCTCTGGCACCGTCTACCATGAAGCATAACATTCTCGATTCAGATACTACTCAGACTGCAGGGTTAGAAGCTACGGACACTGGTTGGGGAACAATGAAGATAAATGTGGATTTGGGCTGGCGAGGATCAGATCAAGGAATTACGAAAATGGATTGGGCAACTGGTCTGGAGACTCCACGGGGAAATGCAATCATGGATTGGATTGCTTCACCTGGGAGTGTAGGGTGGGAGAACCAGCGAAAATCTAGTGATATGAGATTTACTGGTCCAGGAGATGGTGCTCTTTAGTATTTTAGTAGGAGTGGTCTTCATGAAGCTGGAAATCATCATTCGGTGGTAGTTGTGGTAGAGGAGGTGGCGGTTATACTAGGTCTTCACCCAAAAGGGCAACGGACTTTGTAGATTTTATGGGAGTGGACATTGCAAGAAGGGATCATCATGTGACCGACTATCTGCATTGGCGATGGTGAGGTTCCCTGGCAATTTTATACATTTTAACATTCTGTACAATAATATTTTTTAGAAGCATCTTGCTCTGCATCTGTTAATGCTTCAATTTAACTAAAAGTTCTCTGGGTAACAATGGCGTTAATCCATTTTTTTCTTCGAGTAGCTTGGCTGTTCAGCTGTACATTTATTTGTAGCATGTAGTGATACTAATAAAGTAATAAATAATACAAGGAGGCTGCCCTCAATACTTTAAAACATGAACTTTTCTTTCGGCTCTTACATTTTTTTAACCAATTCTTGACTTTCCATTTGTCGAAACTTCGAGTTTGTCTGAGAAATTTTGCTGAACTAGAGATGTTTTTTGAACTAAGATCTGCATATCAGTCATCTCAAATTTGTTGAGCACAATTCATGTTGAATAAGTAGATGTGAAGGGGTGAGTTCTTGATATGCATATGGGAGTGCTCTTCTTGCTTTCTATCTTCTGATTGTGTAAATAGGTTGTTATAAACAATCCATTTGATTGATTCTATTGGGAAAAAAAAAGAAAAGGGTGGAATGTGAAAAGAAAAATGATACATCCTCCAAAATTTCGGAGGATACACCAAGTGTTGTGTGAGTTGGGCCAAGTGTCGTGTGAGTTGGGCCATAACATGATGTTAGCCCACACCCTCACTCACATATCTCCTATTCGGCATTTTTTGAATTCGGGGATTTATCATTGCTCTTTTGAAAAATGTGTTTGTATGTGCTTATTTTAATTTTTATTTATTTATTTATTTATTATTATTATTTTTCACTTTGAATCATTTGTGGTAACGGCTACATTTGTTGTAGTAACTCCATTCAAAGCCTTGCACACCATTTTTTTAAGGAAGAAAATAAGAGAGGAAAGGAGAGAGTATATATTTGAATGTAGGGGAGAAAGGAATAGAAAGGAAGGAATCGCTGTGACAACCATTTTTGTTTGGCTGTAAAATTTTAGTATTTGGTTGCAAATTTAACGAAAGTGCCAAACACTGTACTCCTTTTCATTTGACCATGAAGGGCAAGGTATAGACAATTGTAGAAGAAAAAAAAAACGACTCTCTTTTCTTTAATTTTTTATGCCTTGACAATAAGAACTTCCACGGTGAAGTAACGTATGGCAGAGAATTGCTTAAAATTTCATTTTCATTAATAAATTTGAAGGATGAGAACACGTGGTAAGAAATGAACTAAATGTTGATACAAGGGTAAAATAGCTTAAAATTTCATTTTTTATGCCTCGACAAGGATTAAAATCCTTATGAGTATTATTTCCTTATTTTTATTATTATTATTTTTTTTTGTCAATAAATAAATAAAATTTTTCTTTTTTAAAAAATTCAAGTAAGAAATGAACTAAATGTTGATACACCATTTGTTTCGTCATTTGTGAGGACAAGAGAGGAGAAAATAGGAAAGAGAAGAGAAACTGTAAACAAATCCATCTTTTGGTTCACACAAACCAGGATTGTTATATACTAATAGTGAACGCAGCAACTGCATAAACATTTAAATTTTATTTTTCGATTTGATGGTGTTATACTATTGTAACCGTAATAGGTCACACGGGCATTGTATCTTCACTATAATTGGGGTAAAGTTTTTTTTAAAAAAATCCCTAATTATGTCCAAATTTGTAAATAACTTTGAAGTATTTTTTGTGTGCATAACCTGAACTATCACATTTAGTTGCAAAATGTCCAATTGCCTACACTATTTTTCTCTGTTCGTTTGGACGTAAAGGTATTTTGGTTATCGTAAAATATTTATGAAGAAAAAAAATATATTAAAATTTAACAAAAATAATTTTCATTAATTTTCGACAAGTTATTTTACATGCCCCGCCCGATGAACTAGATCTCAACCTCGACGTAGACCTTTGCCAAACACAGACAAAGTAAAAATAAAAAAATATTTTAACCGAAAACAAAAAATATTTTTCAAAAAGAATAGTTTACGTCGAAATAGAGTATTATTTTTTATTGAATTACACTTGATCTATTTTTGTGGTTGAAGTAAATTATGAAAAATATTTATACTAATTTAATTAAATATGCTCCCTTAAATTTACATAATTTACCTTTAATTTTGAAATTAATTATTTAAATAAAAATCTTAAATAAAAATTCTTTAATTTTGTAATTAATTATTTTTGAAATAATTTAAGTAATTTCTTAATTTTTCATTAATATGTTGCATATAAAATAAAATTGTCCTAACTAACCCGACTACCCTTTCAAATATGTATGTGTCATCTTATATTTTTTGGCCACATGAAAGGTAGATAGAAACATCCAACATTGCAGAGGCACCTATTATAAAAAAATTATTTATTTATTTATTACCATCTCACACGACCGATCAACCGAACTTTGAAAATGTAAATCCTCCTCTCTATTTTTTTTTTTTTTTTCTTAAGCTTTCAATCAAAAGACTTCATTTAATAATGGTAATAGACTTTTCTACAAAAACCCACAAAATTCGAACAAATCTCCCTTCTGAACACTCCAACAATTTATTGGAATCATCTGAATAAAACCCAAACAATGCTTGAATAATTTCTGTCTTCTACAAAATTTTGAGTGTGTCACACGACGATGTCGTCGCTATTGACGCCGACGCAGAGGTACGCCGCCGGAACTCTGTTCGGGTTGGCCCTTCACCAGGCCCAGATCCACCAAACCCGCCCGCTTGGCTCGCCTGCCGCCGACGAAGATGACCCAACCGATGAGCTCCTCAGCAATAGCAGCAGTAGCGATTCAGTCTCGGAGGATCCCCACCTTTGGGTCCATGAATCCTCCGGCCTCCTTCGCCCCATCTTAAGTTAACTTCTCTCTCTATATATTGATATATACATATACATATATAATTTAGTTATTTTTATATTTTGTTAATTTCATTTTCATGTCAATGATTTGAAGTTTTGATTTAGAGGAAAATGCTCATTTTGGGTTTTCGTTTATTGAGATATTTCTTCTTGTTCTGTATACTGATCATGATTTTAGTAATTCCTTTGTGTTAACTTTTAGATGTTAGTCACTTATCAAAAAAAATTTTTAGATGTTAGTCATACAGAAATATATTTTGAAGTTCTAATTTAGAAGGTAATAGTCATTTTGGGCTTTCGTTTATTGAGTTATTTTATGGTTGTTTTGTATACTGATTATGATTCTAATAATTACTTTGTGTTTAATTTGTTTGGTGGCTGTGAAAAATGTTTCAATAGGAAAGAAATTAGTATTTTAGAGCTTAGTTACAGAATTATTTTATGATTTTAATTATTACTTTGTGTTTAATTTAGTAATGTTCAGTTGAGGGCGAGTTTTGAAAGTCCTATTTCAATTTTTGTTATCAACAGGTTTCTAGAGATAGACAGAAAAGCATGGAATGGGCTTGAGGAAACTGCTGGAGTTTCTTCTGCTAAGAGTCATGTTGGAGCGGTATGGTTTTATGTCTTAAGATTACGATTTTATGTAAAAGAATATTTGAACCAGACTTTTTCCACTGTTGAGAAATACTTTCGTGGTGAAGTTAGAGTAGTATGCAAACTTTCTATCTTGCTTACAATTGTTCATGTGCAGGAGATAAAATTGAAAATTCCTCTATCATATATATGACCATATGTTGCTATATTGTACAATGGATGACCGACCAGACAGATGTCCTTTCTCCCCTCAAAAAAGTTCTTTTGACTGGGAAGGTTTATAGAAATGGCTCTTCGTTTCAGTATGATACACATTCAACCAATAGCATGCACAAATAAAATTCCTTGGAAGCCTGTTCATACTCTTTAACATTTGCCATGATTTATACCGAAAGATGTAATGTTCATTTATGATGGATGCCCTTCATCTATGAAGCACGGACACAGGTATGACACGACACGGATACGGCGACACGGCAAATTTTAAAAAAATAGGACACGGACAATATGCCTATAAAATAATATATGTATATATTCAAAATCCACAATACCATAAATCTAACCTCCCCCAAAAAATACTGTAATAAAAAGAATACTTCAATTAATTAAGAACAAAGCAAAGTTATCAACAACTTTACAGTTTACATTTTACATCCACAAATATAATTGTTCTGATTTCTCTTTGTTTTTCTTACTACGATCTAAAAGTTTATTTAATTCCAATACTGAGATGAATGAATCAAATAAAAAAATAAACATAATAAAATCATAAAATTTAATAAAAGTAGAAGTTCAGAGTCTCAAGACAAAAGAGTCAAAAGAGTTAAACTTCTAAAATTACATTAGGTATCCCATTTTTTTTAAAAAAATTTACAAAATATACCCCGCCGTATCCGGTATGTGTCCCCTGCGTGTCCCAGCCGTGTCCACCCCGTATCCAATAAAAAATAATTTCTGAACACTTCACAGAAGTCCAAGCCTCGGACACACGTGTCCGACACGGATACGGGACCCCTGAGAGAGGTGTCCGTGCTTCATAGCCCTTCATCGATGGGTTTAAACTAAAACAATGGCTCTTAAATTGTCCGTACTCAATAGTTAAAAATTTGAGACTTGGGAAAGGATCCATAATTACAAATGTAATTTAATATGAAAAAACAATTTTTAGAAGAAATTCAAAGTTTAGCATCTTAATTTACTTTTTTTGTTTGGATGAGAATTCAGACAATAATTTGGGAGTTTTGGTGAAATTCTAGTCAAATTAAGGAATACTAATCCACATTTCAGTCTCAAAAATTTAAATATTTTGATTCTTATTCTTATGCACTCTCGTGTATGTATTTTTGACCACCTTAATTACAGGTCCAACACACTGCTGATGGGTTTGATTTGCATTATGTGTGTTGTACATGCTTGCGAATGACATTACTTGATTTTGGTGGCCAAACAAGATTTCCAATTAGTGAGCCCTAACCATCTAATCCAATGATCAGCTATTGTCTACTGTTACAAATTGTGTCAGGTTTAAAGCCAATTTCTGGTTTAATGATGGTTAGTGTGGGTTAATTGTCTATTGTGATTCATCTCATTCTGTCTGAGAATGGCCATTGCATGTTGGCCTTTTAGGTACTTGTTATGTGATCTGATGGTGTCTCTGAAAAATCTGAACTAATGTGTGTAATAGTTGTAACAATGGGTTATATGGGTTATTATAAACTTCAAAATGCAATTGATAGTTGCAAAATTGAAGAATTGTGAATATTTAATATATATATATATATATTTTTTTTTTGATAAGTAAGAATTTATATAAAACGCTCAAAAGGGGAGCGGAACCCAAAGAAACACAAAGGCCAAAAAAAAGCCTCAAGCCTTCAAAGAGGCCAAAAAAAGAAACAATCTCCTCTAAAGATCTATAATCTCTCCCTGAAACCCAACAAAAAAGAGTGGAAATAATAGAGAACTTAAGCAAAGAGACAGGCTTCTCCTTTCTATCAAAATGCACCACCAAATACAAAGAGTAGCAGCCCTCCAAGCATCACGAATGAGAGCCCCAACTAAGAAGCCTCTCTAAGCCTCAATCAACCCTCTAGTGAATATTTAATATTTAATCAAATTATATTTCAATTATATGAAAACTCACTTAAGATGTTAAGTGTTAATGGGAGTTATAGTTGTTTTAGCAAATGTTACAAAAATAATGGCAAATATTTTTAAAATTTTTACAATCCAATATATTACAACCGTTTCTGCGTTGTAGTGTTTGGTAACTACCACATTGTTGTCTTGAGGAATGCATTGAATTTATAGTTTGAACTTTGAAGTTGTAAATGGCAATTGGTATGCATAGAATTAAGGAAATACCGGAGCTTCACCTTAGTCACTTTTCACTGGTATCTTAAGATCTTGGATGGTCTATGAAGATAAGTTTCATATCACTTGCATAGATGTATATAAAAGTTCTCAAGAAATTTTGCCCCAAATATGGAGAATGTTAGCTATAATTTTAATAGTGACGGAAATGGTTATATCCTTAGAAATGGGATATTGTAATACTTCATATATATATATATTTTCAATTAAAGAATTCTTGTAGTATTCCAAAATGCAACTCTCTCTCTGTTTGTTTTTTTTTTTTTTTTTTTTTGTATGCCTTAGCACCCGTGATTTCGTAATATATCTCTTTGATGTTCCTACTTTCCTAATACCTCCCTTTTTGGTCATCTTTTTGCAGTTTTTAAGGCTACTCTCAGAAGAAAGTGGCAATACTTCTAAAGAAATGAAGGATAAGGAACTTGCCTTGTCGAATGGTGTTAATGCTATGGCATCTAGTATGGAAAAATCTTCTGGAGATTTCAAATCTAAGAGGGAGAAGCATCGTGAGTATGAGCATGAATATAGGGAAAAGTATTCCATTGATGAGATGCAATCAAACTCTGAAGGGGCAAATGCCCACTTTGAAACTCAGCGGGCAACAAATTGTAATCTGATATGCAATGAACAGACATCTACCGAGTCTGGCAGTGAATTTGATAAAACACCCTTCGAAGAGGTAACAATGCTTAGTTACCAGAGGAAAGTGACAGTTCTATATGAGCTTCTTTCAGCTTGTCTGGCAGATATTCCTGAAGATAACAAAAATAGTACACGACGAAGAAAGGGATATGATGCTCGACATCGCGTGGCGCTGCGGCTTCTGGCGACCTGGTTCAATGTCAAGTGGATTACAATGGTTTGTTTCCCCATATGGTTAATATGTTATAAGCTGTCAGCCATATTCTAGAAATTTCTTCTGTCCTATTAGTGACATACCTCTAACCAAATACTAATAAAAACTGCAGTGTCACCTGATAGAATATTATTAATTCATTACTAATCCTATTAGAATGGCTTTGATGAATTTGTCCCATTATTCTTTCCTGTTTGGCTTTGCAAAATACTCCTCTATCGTGTAGTATATCTCAACGTAGATGGTAATTGGGATTCATGAATATACCTGTCCCTTATCAATACTGTAAAGCATCTTTTATGTCTGGCTCATAAAAGGAAAATTTGAGAAAATATGTCTTTTTGTTACTTGTCCTTCCAAATGTAATAAAAAAAATAAGGGTAGAATGGAGGTACTACTCTCTAAAAGCTCCAAAAGTCGCAACCTATATTTACAGAATTAACAATGTATAGATTTTTCTCAACATCCCTCTTATTTCCTTTCTCCTTAAAGTTTGCACCTATTCTGGATGAGGAAACTAGTGGGTCCCATTAATTTCTGCATAACAAATGTTTGAAAAATGAAGAATAGGATATGTGGGTACTACAGCCACCCAGATTGTCACAATGTTCGGCATATCTTAAATCTAGATGGTGTAATACAGTCTATTAGTATCAAGGTAGGTTTCTCCTGGCCACAATTGTTGTAGATCTCAGTTCATAAGAATGTGCATATTACTAGAAATCTCTTACCTAATTTACCTTCTTTCAACCTCAAAGTTGTATGCTTCTGCTGCCCACTCCAATTTTATTCTATTTTATTTATATTTGTAGGAAGCCATCGAAACTATGGTTGCTTGCTCTGCTATTGCTATATTAAAAGAGGAAGAATCAAAGAAGGATGAAACTGGAACTCCAAAAAGCTCTTGGGCTAAGTGGAAACGTGGAGGTATCATAGGTGCAGCTGCATTAACTGGTGGAACCTTAATGGCAATTACTGGTGGTATGATGTCCTTCTTAGGTTTCTCTAAAGTTTAAACATCTTATTCAAACAATGTTTCCAATGACATGAATGTTTTAAAATTTCATTTTGTGTCGTGTTCTTCAACAGGTTTGGCTGCTCCGGCAATTGCTGCAGGATTTGGTGCTTTAGCACCTACATTGGGCACTCTCATCCCTGTGATTGGAGCAAGTGGGTTTGCTGCAGCTGCAAGTGCTGCAGGGACTGTTGCTGGGTCTGTTGCAGTGGCTGCATCTTTTGGAGGTAATACATAATTAGGTTTAATGGGTTGCTTTTTGTAGATCTCACATCAAAATTGGTTTCTTTTGTAAAAGTGCTTACAACAAATGGCAAATAGTTGTGGTGAAGATTTCTACACATGAAGCATGGTGAAATACCTGCAATTCCTGTAGCTAGCTAGATAGATATTAAATCATGTGCTTATCTTGTTTTAGATTTTTCTTTTAAGTTTAATTAATAATTATCACAATCAGTAATGTATAGAACTGATAGCATTTGTGTACTATTTGCTGCTGGAATCAAAACTTGAATTAACAAAGAGGATATGTGAATATCAGAAAGGACGTCATTCTTTCATGTTTTAAAACTTTCCACTGTAATTATAATTTTTTAAATTAACACTTTGTTTATCACAGCTGCTGGAGCTGGACTTACAGGGAGTAAAGTGGCTAGGAGAACTGGAAGCATTAATGAATTTGAGTTCAAAGCTATAGGGGAAAACCACAACCAAGGGGTGAGTTTTTATCTTCCGTCTCCCAATAACTAGGGACTTCCTTTTCTTTCTGTCCCTTGGTAAGGTGGATATTTTAGTCTTCCAAGGAACTTTGTTAAATCTTCTCTTTTTCCAAATTTTCGTTTAATTTTATACTGACTGATATTTCTTTTCAAATAAATGTTGTTGAAAAATTCTATCCTCATAAAACCCTTCCCTTGCCAGCGGCTGGGAGTTGAGATCTTGATCTCAGGATTTGTTTTTGACGAGGAAGATTTTATAAGGCCGTGGGAAGGACAGAATGATAACTTGGAAAGGTACACCACATTTTGAATGTTCTGACTGTTAATTATGTTCATGTCTGCCCACTGGATACAATTTGGTCCTTGTCAAGCAATTCACATTGATAGCCTGAATGTGGATATGTATATATATTTTTCTGCTAATTCTCTCATTCTTTTTCTTATAATTTCCTTTGTGCTTGACTTTACCATGACCTTTCTCCAATTTATATTGGTTTGCCACACATGATACTTTGCCCGAGCAGCACTATCATTTTATTGTTCACAAATAAAATCCACAAGTACGTGCCAATCATATATATATATTAGAGTGTAATTTTTATTTTTAATTGGAATAACTTTGAAGTTATCATTTATACGAAATATTGTATTCCAGGATTTTGGTTAATTATTAGGAATTTTAGGTTTTTATTGGATAGCAGGTAGTTTCAAATTTCAGGATTTATTCGAAGTAGGTAATAACTTGATTCATAAAAATGAGGTCGGAGATAATATGATCTTAAATCAGGGCACACCTACTTTTTTATTTTTCTTATTTTTCTTATTCTGATCCTAAAAAAATTAAAATTTTATTAAGAAAGAGAAGTACAAAGTACAGGAAGAGAGTTCCTTACGCCAACAGAGATATCATGAACACAACTTATAAAAAAAGAAAGATATCATGAACATATGTCCCATTCTACAAGAGAATAAAGAAAGCTTAAAAAATTTATTTTGATCAAAATATATAAAGAATTCTTTAAGAGATGATGATCCTCTTTTGGCTAGAATGTCTGCTTTGTGTGATTCTTGGAGTCCACTCAAGTGTGCAGTCCATCTTCCTTTATATCAAGCTCTGTTTAATTGAAGCCATGGCCCTAGATAAATTGGAATCTTGAAACAGGATTAATTTGATTAATGTGGTTGGACGCCATAATAGTTACGGCAAGGCTTTGTTGAGTTAACATTTGAGCTATGACCCTGTACTACGGAGTACGGATCGTAGATCCTTATACGAAATGCTTTTCTAAAAAAACTTTATTCCAGCTTTGTCAATAGTACAACGTCGAGTGAACATGAAAATAATGTTACTTCAATAATGAGCTATCAAAACCGTAGTCATGAATTCCTAAGGATCAAGCATTGACGATTAATTTCATCTTAGTGCGTGCTACAGTAAACATAATCGAGGGTCTAATTGGTAAAGGGCAGGAATAAGAGTTTAGCTATAGGAGGTCCTGCCATGTTTTTCTTGCGTGGAAATTATGTTGTGATGCAACGTATGTTGAGTAGCCTGATTTTGTTTGTTTAATATTTATTTTCTGTATGGAGAATTTTAAAGTTAATAGTTTATTATTATTATTTATATATTTATCTATTTATCTAGTTGTCTATTTTTGCAATTAGAATCTACATGGTAAAGAATTATAGAGCCCTTGAAGAACATTTACTGCTTTCATACCCTTACAACCCTAACATTTCTTTAGGTATGCACTGCAGTGGGAGTCTAAAAATCTGATTGCTGCAAGCACTGCAATTCAGGATTGGCTTACTTCAAGTAAATGGTTCACCCCTCATAGTTGCTACAATAAACTAAATAGTTACTGCAACGGTATATGATATTGCCAACGTTACTATATCCTGCAGGAGTTGCTTTGGGGTTGATGAAACAAGGTGCTATGCTTACAGTGTTGGGCACGCTTTTGACAGCGTTGGCTTGGCCAGCAACATTACTTGCGGCTACTGATTTAATTGACAGCAAATGGGCAATTGCTGTGGACAGGTTTTCCACTTCTCTCTGTCACTTCACTGTAAGTAGAAATATTAGGAGGAAAAAGGGGAAGAAATTGTTCTCTAGTTCCATTCCATTCGATGAGCATGTATGCAGTCACATCGGAAATAAGGTGTATTTTCATTCTATAGAACTACTTGAAATGGAACTTTGAGAATCGTTAGTTTTGGAATTCGATTGAGTTATAACTTTCTTTAAATGAACTATTGTACCTCCATTAGCCTTCTTCAGACAGCATATATTCGCTGTATGTAACTGTGGATCATTGGCTCAGAGAATATTCCAACCTTGTCTATTTTCTATTTCAAACCCTCCCATATATACTAGATGTGTACTGTGCAGGAAGGATACATTTTTCATCTCTCATGTTCCCATTTCTTAGTATCCTTTAGGAAATTTCTTGGTATAGCATATCATTTTAGTTGTACCCAAAGTTGTTCAAATCGCGATTCTAGGTCGTAGAATCGCACGATTCTACGATCCTAGACCCCCAAAACGAGTTAAATCGCATGAAAATCGCTCCTTTGGGTAGAATCCTATAGTAGAATCGTATGGTAGAATCGTATGGTAGAATACGATTTTATTGCGTGCCTTTACGATTCGTATAGTAGAATCGCTCCTTTACGATTCTATCACTCCTTTACGATTCTACTGATTGTATACGATTTTATTGTGTGCCTTGTTTGGCCCTGTATTTTTGCGCTGACACACTGTTTTGATGGGTTGGGCTCTTTTAATAAGAAAGCCCAACGATCTTGGGGCCCAAAACAGTAAAGATAAAGATGAAATTCTGAATTTGGTGAACATTGAAGACTCCAAATTCAGTTGGTCTTCGACATCAGGCCTTTTTTTTGGTTTCTTTGTTTCTTGTTCAGATATTCCTAATTGATAAGCATGGGTGATTCTTGTTCAGTTGCACCTTTGTTAATCTGTTCTGTTTATGTTCTATTTATTTTTTTGGATATAAATTTGATACTTTTGGTAAGTGTATAATGTTTATAACTTTATGTTCATAATTCAGTAATTCATATTGTTATTAGCACTAGCATCTGAGTTAGTAATAATTCTTTTTTTGTTTTGTTTTTGTTTTTGTTTGTTTTTTTTTTTTTTTTAATATATATATATATAAAATTCATATCTAATTGAATTGATGTTGAAAGTTTGAAACTTGATTAGTTGAATTATTTGGATATATTAGTAGCACTACATTCTCTTATACATTATATTTGGATTGGTACTTCTATACAAGTTTTGTGTTTTGGACTCATCTTTGCTATATGTTAGAGATATTAGATTGAAACGTTTTTCTACTAGTTTGGTAGAATCTTACGTTTCTCGATCCGATTCTACGATTCCGATTCTACGGAGTCCCCAACAATCCTACATAGAATCCCGACTTTAACAACCGTAACTTGTACCCTTTCTTATTCTCTTCATGGATGAAAAGGCTAGTCTAGTGCACGTGTCTCCCTCCATTTTAGGGTCTGGGGAGGGTCAGATGTAAGCAGCCTTACCTCCACATATGGAGAGGCTATTTCCTGTTTTGAACCCGTGACCTATAAGTCACAATGAAACAACTTTACTGTTAAGCCAAGGCCCACCCTCATACTTATTTTCTTCATGGACCTTTTTTCTTAATGTTTTGTAGATCGGATAAGGCTGGAAAACTTCTTGCCGAAGAAGTGTTACTGAAAGGATTGCAAGGGCACAGGTATACAAGTATCAAAATTAAGAGCATTTTTACTCCATTTTCTTGAAAGTATGATATGAGCAGTACATGCAATTCTATTCTTGGCTGCCCATGAATTTTCAGGCCCGTGACACTTGTAGGCTTCTCACTTGGAGCCCGGGTGATTTACAAGTGTCTCCAGTTCTTGGCTGAAACAGAACGGAATGGTAACTCTTGGTCATAGCATCATTTTTTTTCATGAATGGGTCGGTTTTATGAATGATCCGAATGTAATTCTACTGAATTTTGGCAGCCGAACTTGTAGAGAGAGTTGTTCTTCTTGGGGCACCCATTTCGATACAAGATGAGAATTGGGATGCTGTTAGAAAGGTGGCTGAAGTTCTTTTCTACTTTTTCTCTCTTAACTTTTTGCCTTTTTCATCTTTAGTATTGATCACGCTTATTACCTATCCTTAGTATATATAGAAGTTGCTTTTTTTCTGTTTTGCAGGTAGTTGCTGGCAGATTTGTAAATGCTTATGCTACAAATGATTGGATGCTTGGAATCGCTTTCCGTGCTAGGTATGTGCCATATGCAAATACTCTCGGATGCTATACATTATGGCTGACACTGCAGTTGAAGGGCAAAAAAGATGCCTTTACTTCTTAAATTATACAATATATATATATATATATATATATTCCTTCTGAAGGCAATTGGCCATCTGATGTTTTTTATACCTTTCGCTGAACCTATTCTCTTTCTGAAATGGAAGCATGAGAGTGAAATGTTTGATCATTCTCTCTCTCTCTCTATATGCACACACACACACACACACACACACACACACATATCTAGTTGGGATTCTGTTTACTATTTATATGTAATATGTCTATATATATAGGCTACTAACCCATATATTTACAGGCAATAAGGTTTGTGTGTGTTCAGAACTTTCAAATTTGCTGTCCTGCCATATGGAGCTTTGGCAAAATAACCTTTTAATAATTTTCGTATTTAAACTTATTTGATTGTATTGGAACAGCCTACTTAGTAAAGGATTAGCTGGAATTCAACCAATTGATGTTCCTGGAATTGAGAATGTAAGTTCTGCTTGCCATTACCAATTTTTTTACCATGGCAGATGTTCCTTATTTTAGTTCTGCATTTTCTTTTCGGATATGAAATTTTCTTTGGTTCCACAGGTGGATGTAACAGAGCTCATCGAGGGCCACTCTTCGTATCTATGGGCTAGCCAGAAGATCCTAGACCATCTTGAACTTGATGCCTATTTCCCCGTGTTCCACGGTGCTGTTATTAAAACCTAGAAACTGGGTTCAGTTTCTACATAAAACCAGTTGTTGCTTAATTTTTTTAGTGTCAGTCAATCTCTTGCTTCCATTTTTCTTGCCAATTGAATTGTCAGTCAATCTCTTGCTTCCATAGCTTTGAGTTTCTTGGCAAGATTTTCGCTTCATTGTTCTAAAATTGAGATATCATGGAAATTATGTTTGGCAGAATCGGTGAAATTTAGTTTAAAGTTTGAACTAATTTTCTTCGATTTGGTGCTCTGAAAATACAATAGGAACATTGTATTGGATTTTTCACTAGCTGGGTGAATGTACATACTGTGTTGTCATGCAAGTATTAACATTTTCTTCTTTATGAAATTAAGCGCCACTATACTTCAGGTGTTCTTTTTGGATAAAATTATGGAAAAACTTTGGATTCAATTGTGAACTGAACCTAATTGACTATGAATTCATGGTATTATATATTTTTTCTGATCTATATTTGACAGGTTTTACATGAAGAAGATTTGGCTTATGCTACGTTTGAGATCACCAAATAGGCGTTTTGAATGGAAAAAAATTTAGTTTAAAATTTGAGTTAAATTTCATCTAATTTCATCCAACATTATTACTTGAGAATTTCATCTAAGTTAAAATCTCATTTTATCTTAATTGTATTTTCAGATCATGTGGTACATTTGTAACTCCTTAATACATATTGTCAATATATATATATATATATATATATTTATATATATACATAAAATAATCTGAGCTTGAAAAGCTAGCCTTGGAAATTTGGAATATAAAATAAACGGGACTATCCTGACCTAATATTTCAAGCTGATCTGAAATTCATGAAAGAAAAGACAAGTCCTTTGTATGGAAGATAAAGAATTACATGTTTGCATTACCCTCTGCGATTTTTTTATTCACTACAGAGATTCTTCACCTAATAGAAATTAGTCAGAAACTGAATAAAGATACATCATATAGTCAGACAAAAAGAATCCAATTCTAATTCAACATCCAAGAAGAAGATATATGATTTGAAGCGATTTAGTGCAATCTTAAACAACTAGTTACAATACTTGTGTCATCTATTTTCTTTTAAGTAAAGAAATGCACTTGATTACTGTCGTTATTATTATTCTTACCTTACAATTGGATCGTCGGTCGGACATATGAATTTTTTTTAAAAAATTTTTTTTTCATACAAATAGGTTGGTTATATGAATTTTCTTTTTTTGCACTCTGGATCAGTATGATATTATCACAAATCAGTATCAAGACTTACGAATAATTTGGTACCCAATTAACACTAGTTGACAAGTAATAATGTTGGATGAATTTCAAGTAACGATTATATAAAATAATTTGGCATATACAATATGCCAGTAAAGCCCGTCTAGCTCAGTTGGTAGAGCGCAAGGCTCTTAACCTTGTGGTCGTGGGTTCGAGCCCCACGGTGGGCGCATTGTCACTTAACTTTTGCCGCTCTCTCTCCTGTTTATGCTCAATACCACTCTTCTGCAAATCTCTCTCTCTCTCTCTCTCCCTCCTGTTTTTGTTCAATACCACAAACACGAAGGTAAATGTTGAAAGGAGTGAAATCTCTCACGAGTTCCAAGGACGACGACTACATTTTCTCACTTGTTCATCTTTTCGATCCCTCTCTCTCTCTCTAAAAATATTTGATCCAATTTCTGTGTAATTGCTGAGAAGTTGGCTTTTAGGGCTCCAATCTCTGCAACGCCCAAGATCGCAGTCGAATGGCCGCTTATTACGCGGCATGTAAGCGGGTGGGACAATTCAGAACCACTTTGAGCATCAATTTGGCCCCTCAGATTAGGTCATCATCTCATCTTGTGAAATCCAACGGAAAGCGCTTGTTTCTTGTGGACACATTAGCACTTGTAAGTTTGCAACTGATCTTCTCTCTCAAGTTCTAATTTTTGATCTTTCATTTTTCCAACTATGAGAGATTTGATGATTGATTAGGGTAATTTCTTGCCGGATTGTAGTTGCTTTGACCTCAAATGTTCAATTGTTAGAGAGATTGAGATTTGATGAATTGATTAGGGTAATTTGTTGCCCTAGTGGTAAGGATGGATTGTAGTTGCTGGGAAAATGACATTTGATATTGTTGTATGCATGTGTAGGTTAGGAGATTAGAAGCACAAGGTGTGCCCTCGAAGCAAGCTGAGGCTATAACGGGCGCCATTACTGAAGTTTTGAATGATAGCTTGGAGAATGTGGCCCAATCCTTTGTTTCAAAGCCAGAAATGCATAAAGTATGGTTTCGCATCCACAGACACATGTGCATTGCTAAGATTGGTATTGCAACTTTCTATGTGGCTGATTTGTATTTCTCTGCAGATTGAGATGGTTCAGGAGTCCAATTTGTCCAAATTCAAGTCTGAAGTTCAAATTTCACAGGTACTTTGGCTAGAGCTTGATAAAGTTGTGGCTTTTTATTTGACTGTATTGACATTGTTATGTCTGAGTAGAATTAAAGTAAGCAGCTTCTGAAATCTGAATTATTGTTTGATGCTTAAATGTTATTATAATGACAACAACATCATTGGTGCAAACATTTTGATGGCAGAACATCTATTGTGGAATTTGAACTCCCAGATCCTGTGCATTCTGAAAAGAATTCTTTTCATGGTTCTCTCTTCACTTTGAATACTAGAGCAATAGCGTAAAATGTCAACAAAAGAAACTGAGAGCAGCATTTCTATATGTTTAATTGTAGGTAGGATTGGATTTAGTAGTTCGGTTTTGTGATTTGAGAAAGTGTGGCTTCTCGTGGGTGTGTAAGAATTGGATTGCACTGATATGATGGAAGTCATAGGAAAATTCGGATTAGATGGAAGTCAAGATTGAGTTGAGAGAGAGAGAGTTATGTAATGTCGAGGTCTTCATAGATCAGGGCTTTTCCGAAAGTCAATCCGACTGTCCAAGCACAAAGAGACCAATATCTTTTCTAGCGTTTGTAAGATTCTTCAAGAGATTAATAGTATAGTTCTATCCACAATTGGGATCCCATCATGTACAATGTGGTTGTCTGATAGAATTTGATAGTGGGTTGAATTGTGGCTATAGAGGTGGCAATCCAATGCATAGGATTGGTAGTGAAGTGTTAAGATAGCGCCGAAGTGGCTAACCATCCTCGTAAGCTTTTGTTTGGTTCAACATGGTGTTACCACATCATATAAGGCGAAAGTCATCTGGGAGTCACTTGATGTCTATCCTTCTTTAATTAGGCAGAGATATATGCTTTAGGAGACACCTTGGCAAACTTTGGGATTCATACACCAAGTTAGGTACTCCTAAAATACCGCACTGTAACATGCTTGTGTGTTTGAGGTGGGCTATAACAATAACAGTATAGTGGGCTTTGTTCCCCTTACTATGAAGTGGGCCATTCTGACAGCCATGCATTGTGTTGGAGAAATCCCCTTACAACCCCAAACACCCATCACTACCCCCCCCCCCCCCCCCCCCCCCCCAAACCCAAAAATAAAAAATAAATTTTAAACTTCATAAATCTTTTTATTTTTTATTTTCATACTACTAATTTGGCATCTGCAAGAAAAAAGTTTCTTGGTCTGCCCCTGGAGGAGAGGTTAATTGTAATAATAAAAAAAATGTATTTTCAAAAGGTTAGAGCCTCACTAAAAATAATAAGTGCTTGTGGAGAAGTAGGTTAGGTCTTTCTACAGCTAGACTTATGTAGAGAATAAATAAGAAGATTGGGAGTTTGTTTGTAGAGAGATGGATTATAAAGCCAAAAATGTTATGCGGTCGTGTCTTATTGAAGGCCATAAGCATGCCAGAGAATTAGTGATAATAAGCTTGTGGAGGGGGCTATACGATAGACGAACTGATAGAGAGACATATTATCTTCAACAAGCCTCTCTTTCCGGGGATAGTAAGTATGCTGAAGATTATAATTCCTTTCCAGAGCAAGATAGGCTTGTTGAAGATGAGGATCATGAAATAAGTCTTCATCTCGACTAGTAATCTCGAGGTCTTGGACTTGGCATGTAATGATTTATAAGCATGATTTTAGATAAATGGAAAGAGAGGAAAAATCTTATATGTCATCCCTATGGAGGGTACCATGAATGAAGTTGCAAAAGTGACCGATCTACCTTTGTCTTGGTGTCTTTAGGTCTTAATTTCCAAACCCCAGGTCTAGGTTTCAAGACTGGAAAGAGAAGAAAGGGGGGAAAAAAAAAAGTTGCAAAAGCGAGACTCAAATAAATAAATATATATATATATATATGTGTGTGTGTGTGTGTGTATATTTTGATAAGTAAAATTGAATAAAAGCGCTCAAAAGGGGAGCGGATCCTAAGAGAAATACACAAGGCCTCAAAGGACCTCTAAGCCTTCAAAGAGGCCAAAAAATCGACAATCTCCTCTAAAGATCTATAATCTCTCCCTGAAACCTAACAAAAAAGAGTGAAAATAATAGAGAATTTAAGAATAGAAATTGACATCTCCTTCCCATCAAAATATCTCCTATTCCTCTCAAGCCAAACACACCACCACACACACAGAGGCGTAGCCCTCCAAGCATCCCGAATGTGAGCCCCCAAAAAGCAACCACTGCAGGCCTCTATCAACCCTCTAATGGATCTAGCCATAACCCATGGAAACCCAAACAAGCCAATCATCAAATCCCAGCAATCTCTAGCAATGGTGCAGTGTAATAGAAGATGATCTGCTTTTCCTCGTCTTGAAGACACATATACCAACGATTGACCACCACCACCTGATTTCTCCTCCTCAAGTTATCCTGGGTTAAAATCTTTCCCAGAACAGAGGACCACACAAAGAAGGCCACCTTAAGAGGAGCCTTTGAGCGCCAAACAGACTTCCAAGGAAAGTGATCTCTAGGTTCATCCGTGAGGCACCTGAAAAAGGACCTAACCTCGAAACGCCCCTGAGAGTTAGCAACCCAAGTCCAACTATCAGAGTCCCCATCCACAATCCTCTGGCGATACAACAGCTCCAAAAATCGAATGGCATCCTCAATCTCCCAGTCCTGAAACAATCGCCTGAATCGAACATCCCAAACCAGTCTCCTGTTATCAAATAAATATGGAGATATCTTGTGATAATTAGAGATAACATGTAAACAATCATCGTGATAGTGATGAAGTGGTGATGTCCGATAGGCCTGAATGGTACTATCATTCTTGTGGATTTGTCTCACTCCCAATGGTCAATGGTTTTCGTAGATGCAATGGTTCAATGATTTTCGTAGATGCTGATATTTTGGTTCTGGAATTGCCAAAATAATGTTTGATGGAGACTAGAATCATGTTACAGGTACTGCCCGTTGTAGTCATACGGAATTAGAGAAGTTAACAAAGCTGTCAACATAGGATCTGTCTAGCAAGACTACATTTAAAGACTTCCAGTTTCAAAGAGGGAGGGGGAGCATACTTAAGATTTTATGTGGCTTTCCTGAATTTATTATCTCTTATACGCGGGAATTTTAACAAAATTTAATGGGCATGAAAGCTCTACTTGACATCATTTTTTCTTTCATGTGTTCCTGTTGGAAGTTTTTATAATATATTTGCCCGTCATAATCAGTGGGCATTAGCCTGGCACTATATACTTCGTGGCTTCATAAAAGAGAACCTTAAATGGAATATTTGAAGGATACTTTGGATGCCATATAAGATAATTATTTTAGTTCAATTGGATCAAGTGGGAAGGTCCAAATTAAGCATTTACTCATCTTAAATTAAGTCTGTTGTTGACCTAGTGAAAGTGACATTTTTTTTTACCCAACAAATAACACACTCACCCATTTTGCCCCTACAAGCACTTGAACCCTCAACAAGGAGATACCACTGCAACCCTTGCTGAAAGTGTCGTGGTTGCTTGAAGCTAAAGCGACTGATGTGCAAATCAACTTTATTATTGGTTAACACTTCAAATTGCTAGAATGTTATTGCTAGAATAACACTTTTAACACTTTATTATTGGTTACAGTTTTATTTTAATAAAAGAAATGGCACCTTGAACCCTCATTTCTCAAAAGTTGTGTGCAAGAGATCAAGAGTGGAGTTGGCATCTTTAGGGCTCTGTTAGATCACTACTGCCCACTGGATCTTCTCAGTTATTATCTCTTTAATGTTGAGCTCTTTTATAATTAGAAAACTAAAAAAGACATCTTTTTTGTTTGTATAGCTTTATAAAATGGGCAATAATACCTTTTTGAGAACATAAATAAAACCTGGCCTGTTGAACGGCCTAGTATTAAACTGGTTGGTCAACCGTTCAATCGATTCTTATTAGTTTCTTGTCTTAGGTGGTATTATAATAAAGCCCTACAAGGTTAGAATGCTGTACTAGTTTTATCACTCTAACACCTGGTCTTTTTTATGTTGCCCTAAAATAAAGCATCAAGTGGTGGAAGACTTACTATCAAATGAATCCTAGTCTTAATTTGAAATTGTCATTCCTTCATGCACTCTTACAGAAGGTCACATTGGGAATTTAATTGTCTTGTGAGCCATTGGGTGTTTCTCTATGTCAATTAGTTAGTTTTGCATATGAAAGATAATTTTCTGGAAATATTTGTTCAACTCACCACATGCTAGTGTCCATATTAAATTAGGGATATGAACCATAATATAAATTACAAAAATCCAGTAATAAAGGGGAATATCAACTGCCACTGACTTTCTTATGTGACTAAAGTTCCCTTCATAATTATGTAATGCCAAAAAAACAGTCTCCCTTTCAGAATTGGTGGCTTGGTTTTGGAATTGGAAGAAATTTAGTTCAAAGTTTGAACTGAATTTTCTCTAATTCCAAATCCAAAGCACCGATTCGGTGCTCCCAAACGCTACATAAATTTATTCATTTGTGAGTTCAGGTACTTATTTCTTCTGAACAGTTCTGGAATATTAGAATAACAGTGACCATATTTAAAGTTTCCATGCCTGGTTATTTATTTGATCTATAACAGGGACACCACTTCTCTTTGTTGCAACACGAGACTGAAAAACTTCGTAGTGATATAGAGAAGATGCGGAGTGAATTGAGGTCTGTTTTAGGCTCTACAAACTGTTTCTGCATGCTAACACACACCTACGAATTCATATCCATTTTGTTATGAACTTCATAAGCACGATTTGACTGCGATGCAGGTATGAAATCGACAAAGTCACTGCTGGGCAGCGTCTAGATTTGAATCTTGAAAGAGGGTAAGAAAAGTTCTTTAGTTCTTGTTTCTGAGCTCAATGCTGTCAGTGTTATATCATTACTGATCTCAATGTGCAGGAGAATACGGGATGAGTTAGCAAATCAGAATCAAGAAACCTCTAACCTTACTAACAAACTTGATAAAGTGAGTATATTATTGCAATTGAGAAATTATTTTCTTCAGTTGGTTTAGTCTTTTTTAATTTCAATATATATATATATATCTCAGGAAATTCATGCATTAAGGGCTGAGTTAGAAGCAGCAAAATATGAAGTGATAAAGTACTGCATAGGTACCCTTGTCTCTATATCCGCTGTTGGTCTGGCTGTACTCCGCATTTTGATGTAAGCTTGTTGTATCACAATTAATGGTGACATACAAAAAAAAAAAAAAAAAAAAAAAAAAAGAAGAAGAAGAAATAAAGAACTGTAGTGTATGTTTTTTGTTGTAATTTTTGTTGCAAGGAAATAAAAAATTAGAAATGTTGAATCACATTGTTGAGGAAGCTTATTGTAAGAAAGCAATCATTGACTCGTTCTGGACCTGGATCCTTCTAACCCTTTTATTAGCTACATTCTTTTCTTTTAGTTTTTGCTTGATTTAATTATACCATTTGAACTTATAGTTTTTGCTGAGTCAAGGAATGTGAAATTATTCTAGTTCTCCCTCTGTCCCAAAAAATATGTTGTGTTATTGTGAGTCACGGTTTTCCAAACTGGATATCTTTTTTGGAACAGATAGAGTAATATAATAAATTGTTCCATTTTAAGTTGTGATATATATCTATGAAAAAATAAAAAAAATAAAACGACAGAAAGAAAAAAGTGTGGTGATATTTGCACGAGTATGGCGTGTGTGTGTTTTTTTCTTTCTTTTCCCAAAGTGTTGGTGAATGATGTTGGTCCAAGCTGTCAGAGGTACTTGGGCCAGTAAGCCCACCTTCCAATTTGTACCATCTGATTGGCCACTTATGATTAGGGAACATGGTTGTCCGGGCCAAATTTAAAAAAACCAAATTAAGAAAAGGTTACCTTTTGCAGGGTGATGATGGACCACAAAGACAATACTACTACTCTCTCTCTCTCTCTCTCTCTCTCTCACACACACACACACACACACACACACACACACACACACAAGACTTTCATTGGTAACCCGTGTAATGAATACGCTTTAGGATAGTGGGCTTAGCCTTTGGATCTCGTGGGTTCTACTGGCTCATGGTTGAGTTCGGTGCACTTAGCAAGATCAAGAACTTTGTGATGTTTCTTATTAATGAAAAAAAAAAATTCTAATAAGATAAAAAATAATAATAATAATTTTAAATGTGTTAATTACGTTTCTTATTTTTCTCAGATTTCTCTACGAGAAACCTTGACCTAGGACTGAAAAAGGTAGGTAGAACAGTGTGTTAATGAAATCAAAGCATTTGCATATCTTCTACCAAAAATACAATAATTAATTTACCTGCCCAAAAAATAATAATAATAATTATTAATTATGCCATGTTTTCATCATGCATATGTTGTGAATTGTTTCCTAATCTCCTCAAATATCAACATCATCAGCTCTTACCAACACAACCCCAGTGGACCCAACAGGAGGTTTTGTGTAAGTTTTCAAGGCGTTGGAAGAGTGAAGTTTGGTTTCTATGGAAGGCACTTACAACTGAGCTGACTAACACTTGTCCATCATTTTCTTCTTCTTTCTCATCATTTAAGTAAATTGAACCAATTCATAAAAAGCCACCATCAAATCACACCCTCAACTCACCTAAAATTCCCTCTCTCTCTCTCTCTCTCACACACACACACACACACACTTGTTTATATAGGTCATACTGATTCGATCTGCTCTACTTTGCCAATTATTGTATATCATATGTATCCAACTAAAAATTGTAGAGTTTAAAGTCAGTACACGAAACTCCTATCATTGTAAAGTTCATGAAGAATTTGTACACATAATTCGTTTTCTTATTCAAAACTCTACCCAATTATTAAAATAGACCCAATTATTAAAATAGAACAACATTATCGTTATAGTGGAAACTGAACGCTCTACTCACTAGATAATGGTGATCTGATTTTTTTTATTTTTTATTTTTTTTTTCTTGGACCTTCTCTTTTAAACAACCATTACTTATTTATTGTAACTTGTAAATATGCAACTTTTTAGTGCTGCATATATTTTTTTTTTATATAGTACCTACTCCACGGGGGCAATTTGGCTCATCATTATCTATAATGGATAACTTTGGCATGTTGAGTGGTCACTATTTGTCCTCTTGGTTAAGAATGTATTAAAAAAAAGAGGAGGGCAAAAAGGCAGAATCACCCAAATTATAATAATATAAACCTTTTAACCAGTACTAAATATACATCCAAAAGAATTGTGCCTTTCTTAGACTATGATTCATTGGCTTTCTAGGAGAGTAGAGTTCAAGTTTTTATTTATTTAATTTTAATATATATATATATATATATATATATATATTTAAAAAGTAACTTTACAAAAAGATTAAAGGGTAGAATCTTTAAAAAATTAACGTCGTCTTTTACTCACATCAAAATAGTCACAGTCGGAATGTTTTCAAACTAAAAAGCAGTGAGCATTTAATATAGACATGTGTGTATTTACTCACATCAAAATAGTTACAGTCGGAATGTTTTCAAACTAAAAAGCAATGAGCATTTAACATAAACATGTGTGTGTATAGATATATATATAACACGTTATCTTTTACTTACATCAAAATAATTACAGTGTCTGAATGTTTTCAAACTAAAAAACAATGAGCATTTAACATAAAACTATATATATAGATGTGTTGGCACAGTCTACATCACTACACACGAGTTTAATAATTTTTCATTAGGCATTATTGTCCCTTCTTGATTATCATTCAAGCAATTAACATAAAACTACACATCTCGTGAGCTCATGAGCCCCTTTCAGCTTATTCATCACATGGAAGCCTCGCACTTGAATAGAGTCCCACCCAAAATCAAACATCTCCAAATTAAAACAATTAACTTGAAACATTTATTATTATATAATTTTGTTCATATATGCAATTCAAATGAAAACTTATGTGATACCCTTTATTTGAATGTGATAGAAAGAAATAAAAACAAAAAAGAGATTGGGTTACAACCAAAAGATCAACATAAAACAATTGAAATAGAGGCTTTCTTGTTTTGGTCATCCCTTTGATGTTATTTCTTCTTCTTTTTTTTTCCCTCTCAATATTTATAAACACAAAAAAACAAAAAAATAAAAAAAAAAAAAAAAAAAAAAAAAAAAAAGAGAGCAAACCACCATGATACGTCACCGTATCAATCCCCTTAGTATCCACAAATTGTAAATCCCAGCAAATCCACTCTGCTCAGTGCTCCAATATTGTTGGTTGCCTTTGCCTCCTCAATAGAGTGGACACAGCAGGCGTGGACTCGGTACGGCCATGAGTCGAATCGCTTTTGGGGCGGTGAGTCCGAATATGTCACCCACGTCGATTTCACTCGGTTTCATTCCGTCCGGCAATTCCCACGTGAAGCTGTGTAGAAGGTGAGCCACGGCCATCTCCAGAGCGTAGAGTCCGAGCTGCATGCCGGGGCAGGACCTCCGACCCGACCCGAATGGTATGAACTCGAAATTACTCCCTTTGAAGTCCGGCATGTTCTCTTTGAGGAACCGGGCGGGCTTGAATGATTCGGGGTCAGACCACGAATTCGGGTCACGCCCAATGGCCCAGGCATTGATCATGACCCGGGACTTGGCCGGAATGTAGTATCCGGCAACCTCAGTAGCTTCGGAGGTCTCGTGGAGGAGGAGGGGGATGGGCGGATGGAGGCGGAGCGTCTCTTTGATTGAGCACTTGAGGTATGTGAGCTTGTCGAAGTCGGACTCTTCGACCCGTCGATGGAGTCCAACCACGTCAGCGAGTTCTTGTTGGACTCTCTTGAGATCTTCGGGGCTCCGCATTAGCTCTGTCATGGCCCACTCTATGGCCGAAGCCACCGTTTCGGTCCCGCCAAACATTACGTCCTGAATTACAATAATAATAGCAATAATAATATTTTTTGGTCAATAATAATAATAATAATAATAGAGTAATTAAAGCCATTAAATCAAAGCTGGCCGACTATAAAGTGATTAATTGATATTATGCTAATCATAAGATATATTTTTTTTTCAGGAAATTAATTTATTTGACTTATTTTTTTGGATTTATTTATTTCTTTGTTTAGTATGTAAAATCTCAAACAGAAATCCCTTTGTTTTATTCGATACTCAGAATCCTTAACCTTCCAAAATTTAGGGGTATTTTGGTTTTGTTGCTGAAATTTTTGTTTTTTCCTACCTCTTTCTAGCTAGAAATTTTACTAAACTGACAAAGAAAAAAATAAAAAGGAAAAAGATATGAAAAAGTGAAAAAATTGGCTAAATGAAAACATCTTAAACTTTTTGGGGAATTTTTTTTTTATTTTTTTATTTTTTATTTTTATATACAAATGGAATCGGTAAAACATGTATGATTAGAACTTCGAATTATATGAAATTTGAACTAAAGATTTAAAGAAAGTACTTTTAGAAGCAATCCCTTCGTGCTCTAAAATGTTGGTAATGTTATGCAAATAAATTTTTTATACATAATTTGATTCATTTTATATCTATATGTACTTCACAAGTTCGTAGCAAAAACAAACATATTTTTATTTTAGAATTGCTACTTCATAGTTTACATCATCTTGTTTATGAATCATCCTAAAATTTTTTTTTTTTTTTTTTTCCTCCGAAAATTCAACCACTTTGATATATAAAGAATAAACTGTACAACTAAAAGGATGGCGTAAAGAAATATTGACATTAATATATAGTAGTATATAAAAATGAAAAAAAAAATGTTTTTTTTTTTCATTTTTATTATACTTGCTACTTTAACAAGATTTAGCAATCACAATATTTTACACTCAAAAAAAAAAAAAAAAAAAAAAAAAATCATTTGACTAAAATTCTTTAAAATTTATACGTTAATCGAATGACATTACAAGAGGGAGGTCCATCTCATAAGGAAAATGACATCACTTTAGTCTCTTGTGATGGTTAAAATTTATAAAAATTCCAGACATATATATATATATATAATAATAATAAATTAAAATAAAATCATTTGACTAAAACTCTTTAAAATTAATACGTTAATCGAATGACATTAATATTTCATAAGGAAAATGACATCACTTTAGTCTTATGTGAGGTTAAAATAAGGATTAATTTGACTTTTTAATGTGAGTAGAGGTTGCTGTCATCACAAGTAAACTCGTAAGTAAAATCACACTGATATAAAAACCGGTAAAAATGATCTTTAAAAATGATTTTAAAAACAGAAAAATAGCAAATAATTAAGTTATTATGTTATGGTTTTAATCGACAACCAACCTACCATGATGATGGCTTTGATATTATCTCTAGTGAGTTTGATGGAGTTTTGTAGATCGTCTGATTCGCTGACTTTTGCTTCATCACTGTAAAAAGCCAACAGATCATCAACCATGTCCGTCTCAACCTGATCATCAGAGACACCATTCACTCTCTTCTTCTTCTTCTTCTGCATATGATCATCGATGATTCTATCTATAAACCCATCAAGCGAAGCCCGAGCCTTGGCGAGTCGCGAGTTGAGTCCCTGCGGGTCAACCCAGCCGAGCCACGGAATGAAATCCGCGATATTGAAAGCACCAAACAGTTTGGAAAACTCTTGCAGTATCCTGATGAACTCGTCCTGTCCCTCGTCCGAACTCGTCCCGAACGCGGCTCGGTATATGATGTCCCGAGTCAACTCGAACACCAACTCACCCACATTGACTGTGGTCCCCACGTTAGACGCGACCGTCCTGATCGTGGTGTCCACCTCGTCCCGGACGGAATCCCACGACTCGGCCCGTTTCCGGCTGAACAGCTTCATGACGCAGAGCTTCCTCATCTGGCGCCAAAACGGGCCGTAGTGGGCGAAGGCCATGTCGGCGCGGTCGTAGGTGAGGTAGCTGATGGCGATGGTGGCCGGGCGGTTGGAGAAGATGTTGTCCTGGACCTGGAGGACTTGGCGGGCGATGTCCGGGGACGACACGGCCACCATGTGGAGGAAGCCCATGCGGAGGTGGAAGATGCCGCCGTATTGCCTGGCGAGTTTGGCGAGTCCCCGGTGAGTTAACTCGCCCATCAGCTTCATGTTGCCGATCACCGGCAACCCTTTTGGTCCCGGTGGATATGGCGGTCTCCGGCGGAGCCGGGATAGAAGAAAAAGAAGTAACAAAGGAACAATGAAGAATATTGTCATGGTTATAGGTTCTTGCATGTTCTCAACAAGAAGAGAATTCATTTCCATTCTCTCTCTCTCTCTATATATATTTCTCTCTCTAAAATATAACTCTTTCTCTTGCAACTCAAAGTGTTGCTAGATTTTGGTAGATATTATGGGGTCTTATATACAAGTTTTTTTGGTTGGTGTTGGCACACTAGTTGGTTTTCATACCTTTTTTTTATTTGCAAACACTCGTTCTCTGTCTATTTTCAATTTAGTTATACTATTAATTAGTGATACTAAAAGTGGAATTATTTAAAAATGCATGAATATATATACTAGGTCAAAGAGTGTGAAAATAAACAGTGAATGCTAGCTCTTTATTTGAAGATGGGATAGAAGAATTGATCTAAATTAAGTTTAAAATCGAAAATAACCTCTACATATAACAATAAAATTGAGTATATTTAAGACTAGTCAGACTTCACAATTACGATACTGAACTATTCATTTTAAAATTAATGGTGCTAAAAAATAAGTGTATTTACAATGTGTATACACATTTTTTTTTTTCCGGAAGGTGATGTGTATACACATTGTTAGCTGGAATAAGGTAGGACTTTGTTGTCTTCTCACTTATACACGAAGTTTGGGGCCAATACATAAACCAGTGACTCGTATATATTTTAAGGAATTGAATGGAATTAATATGTTTGGTACATAAAAATATAATATATTTGAGAGTTAAATTTTTGAATTTATTTGAGATGACTTTATTTATTTATTAAAGGATTTAATTATTTTATAATGATAATAAACGCACGTAACTTTTAATGTGAAATTATTTTGTTTTTCTTATTCAATTCAATATAATTAAAGACTTGGATTTTCTAAATTATCTTAAGTTGAATTATTTGACGTGTAAAATCTATTCAACTAATTTAAAGATGAAATTAACACCGTATTGATATAAGGAAAATTTCCTAAAGTTTGAAAACTGCACCGTTTTAAAATAACGAAAATTCACCATACTTTAACGACGTCGTTCTCTTTCCCTCATCTTTTCCAAAAAAGATTGCTCCCTCTCTCTTCTTGTTTATCTCCACGATTGGGGGAATATTTCGCGCCAAAAATAAATGTGCAAATTAAAAGCTTTTGTAATGGATTTTGTAGTTTAAATTTAAAAAAAGAGAGGAATTTTGCAATTTAGATTTCAAAAAAAAAAAAAGAGTGAAAAAAGAGGAATTTTGCAATTTAGATTTCAAAAAATAAAGAGAGTGAACCAGATCTAGGCGCCAAAAATCGTGGGAAAGAACATTTATTTTTGGTGTGCATTATTCCCCAAACGTGGGAATGAGCAAGAGGAGAGTCATTAAAGTATGGTGAATTTTTCTTATTTTAAAAGGGTGTAGTTTTTAAACTTTGGTAAATTTTTTTTTCTAAAAACGGTGCAGTTTTTTTAAAGTTTTTAAACTTTTTTTAAATTCGTTGGTGTGGTTTAACACAAGTAGTACATAGATTTTAAATGTCATGTGTCAATCTGCAGAGAATTCAACTTAGAATAACTTAGAGAACTTAAAAGGATCCAAATCCTATCATCAAAACATTTTTAAAAAATAAAATAAAATAAATTTCATTATAATCAAATATAAGTTTTTTTTTATCGGATAAGTTATAATCAAATATAAGTTGTATTATGTCATTTAGTCTAAGGTTAATTAAATTAAAAAAAATAAAAGAAAAGCAAAGAGCTAGCTTTTCCCTTCTCAGTAATTACTTCATGCATAAACCTACCTTTATAATCAAATATAAGTTGTGTTATGTCATTTAGACTTTTTCAACTTTTTTAAGTTGTTAGATCTAAACCTAGCTTTGTAAGACATTTAAAATAAGTGTATAATTCAAATACTAAACAAAATGATGGTTATGCAATTGATAAGCATTTCTATTTTATGAAGAGCTCTTCCCTTCTCAATAATTACTTCCATACATAATTTTCTTAGTATTTCGAATAAAAAATATGAACACATGGAGAAAACGCCAAAGCTACATAAATTAAGAAAGATATATATATATATATATATATATATATATATATATATATATATATATGGACAGAATTACTACGTGTTAATTAAATAAGTAAAATGGCGAGATAAATTTTTAGATTTATTGGTTAATTTACTATCAATTTCACTTATATAAATCTTTTAAGGAAATGAACTCAAAATTGCTAATCTACAAAAGCAAACATTTCGCTATTCCTTGATGAGCTCAAAAATACGATCAAGACAATAAGAAATTTTTTTCTTTTAAGACCCACTGATTTATTATTTTGGTTTAATTAAACATATGCTATAAAAGTGGAACTGATAAAAATAGATAGAATAAACACATCCTACGAAAGTGCAAGTGGTAAAAATAGATAGAAATACCTTTTGGTATTCAAGCATTTTTAATCAGGACAAAAATACTCCAAATTATCTATGTATGAATTTTTTTTTTTTTCACTTTCATACGACAATTATCACTAATAGAAGCTGTGAGGTAATGATCAATATGTTAATGTCATTTTCATTAATCATTTTGTTGTTCTTCTAATTTTGGTGGGATTGAGAAAAAATGTATGTTAAATTACTTCTCAGTTAAGATAATGTTGTGATCAAAGCTCTAATTAAAACAAAATTAAAGCCTTAATCAACCCGGCTTATGTTTGATGCGTAGATTAATATTTTCAAGACCCACTGTTACACAAACTATCAAACATTTCAAGACCTGTATTCTCTTTTGCAAATAAATAAATAATAATAATAATAAAATAAATTTTATATATCAGAGAATATAAATTATTCAGCTATATATATACACTAATATTAATAATAAAGTGGGCAAAGTCTTCATTTTAAATCTCACCTTTCACCAAGAGGTGATGGATCATTTTGACAGTCCCATTGTTGACAAATGTAAATGTGTGGGAATACATGTTATTGTGTTATTATATCAAGGATCTTGTGGTTGAGAATTATGCTTTGTTGGGTAGAAAATAAAAAAAATAAATGGAAGGGAGAGAAGAAGAGATGATTGAGACATTCTTAAGGAAAGAGATTAAGTGTTTCTCTATTTTTGTTCGGTTGGATGGAAGAGAATGAAAAGAACTAACAATTTAATTTGATAGGTAAAATAAAAGAAAAGATAAATTTTTAAGTTATTTTTAATGAAGTAATTTAAAATTTCTATAATAGGCTCACTTTCTTCTCTCATATCGATAAAAATTTGTGAAGAAGGAAGGACCTTCCTATTATCATTTCTTTCCTTATATTATTTTTATCGAATTAAAAAAATTTGTTCATTCCTTCTTATTTTCCTTCCACCCCTCTTTTTTTCTTTCTACTGAATATAGCATGGAGAAAGTAAATGTGTAAATGATATGTGTGTTTTTGTTAATAAAAAAAGAAAAAGAAAAAATGTGTGAGTGCTGACCTAAAAAAATAAAAATAAAAATAAAATAAATAAATAAATAAAATTGTATAGAAGAGGTGTCTTGTTGACCTTATTAAGATGATTTTTTTTTTTTTTTTTTTTTTTTCGGGTGTTGTATATTTTTTAAAACTCACAATATATATATATATAATATATATATAGAATTGATGGTTCAACTTATATGGCTATATATATATATATATATATATATATGATGCTGGATTCTAGATGTAAAACGATATTCAAGTTCTCAAAATAATGATCACTTGGGAAGAGCAATGCGTGGGGGCACTCTATATCTTTTTTGAAAAGTTACAAGGAGTGCCTATTGTGTTAGTTCACATCATTTGTATATATATGTAAAAAACAGCTGTATAAAAAAATTTAAAAATTAAATGTTTAGCATTTAGTAATATCTCTCTCTCTCTATATATATATAGATAGATGAAGGCATTATCACGACTCCATTTCAAGTGACACTAGTGATATTTAAATTGCATTTCTAAAGACCTGTAATTGAATAATATGTATGGTATGTTTGGTTGATTGGAATTAGTGTCTCAAAAATTATAATTGGGAAAAAATAATTTAATGTTTGAACAAAAATAAAAAAATCAATTCAAATTCAAAGTACCAATTCTACGCAATCAAACACAATCTTAATTTATCCATAATTAAGCGTTGAATACTCCCATCAAAAGATATCTAAGTTGAACAGTGCTTTGTTCGGTAAGAAAGAAGGAAGTGGAGGAAGATAAAAAAGAAGAATTAAACCTTGTGAGGAGTATGGTCACACTTCCCGGCAGTGTCCTACAGTCAGACAGGGACAAAGACAGGGACAGGGACAACATGTGCAGCATGGACAGAGGGCGCCAATGCCTCTACCAGCTCCACAGGTTCTTCGGTAGAAAGGAGACAATGAGAGAATAATATGAAGAATGAGTATATAATAGGAAGAACTGAATAATGACAAAGGAAAGACGAGAAAACAAGTGAAACTATTATAAAAATTTTAAATTATTACTATTCTAAATTATATAGATACAATATATTACTAATTATCATAAATTAAAACTTTTATTCTCTTTTACCCCAACTAACACAGTAAATTATGAGCTTTATTATCTTTTATTTCATTCAATTGAACAAATTAAAAGAGATAATGACATAATATATTTTTTAGAAATATCTCATTCAGCCCTTCTTGTCAACTCTTCATTAAATTTTTTTATTTTGTACTGAACGAAGCATGAGATAGAGACTAATATTTATTCCTACAAATCTTTGTGGTGGGATTACAACCGGCTAACCATACACAATGAAATCTTCTTCATCATCATAAATAAAATATTTTCACGTAATAAATAAAAAATATATAAACATCATTTAAATTGTTAATGCATTGAAGCATTGTGGTACTTGTCAGATAGTGTGTGTGTCTAAACATATAAAAGGTGAGAGATATTGATGTTTAACCTTATTGATAAGTCCAAGTCATTATCTTAGTTAGAGATTTGAACCATTGACGGTTTCATCTCACCATTAAATATTTTTGGTTTTTTGTCTTTAATCAGAAAAATCTTAAATTGCGTATATTGATATGCAACACTCAATAACACTCAAAATTCAAAATGATTATTCTTAATATCTAAGACAAAGATTAGTTAATGTAATCTTGCGTGTTAAACCATCACTAT